GTACTAGGCTGGTGTATTTTCATTCTCTTCTTCACCATATGTATCTCACAATTGTTGCTTCTTTTACTAGATTTCTTCAGGTACAGGCTTGTCGTGGTGTAACTGTTCCTCAAAATGAAGGCTTTTATTGTTTATGGTGTGTTTTTCGCTACTGATGGGTAGTTCGACCAGAAAGAGAGAGGATCTGCCATGTAAGATGTGACCTGTTATAGCTGCTTCACGAAGATGAGATGGAGTCTCCAGCTTTGTTAGGTGGTCTTGTGTGCCTTGTTTATATTAATATAATACTATCTATAGATGAGGGTTAAGTATGTTTGACGAAGCATGATGGAGACAGGAAAGAAAGGCTTTGGTGCGCAATAAATTCAAATGTATCAGGCATATGAGCCAATTTCAAACCAAGTGAGCTACACCTCGACACATTCCGAAAAAAAACTCGCCTATGCATCACAGGATTAAATGCGCCCAATTCCACAATTCTTAGGAACATAACCGCGAGCATCCGTCGCAGAGCCAGCCGCTGCAATAGTCAGTCCGGAAAAGTCACTGAAAAATCCAGTTTCGGAGCTGCTAAAAGCACCAGACTTGCTGTAGCCATTCGGCTGGCAAGCGCGGCCCAAGGCGGACTTGCAGGACGCGGCGTTGGCTTCGCTAGCGCTGAAGAGCTGGTTCTCGGGCTTGGCGGGGGCCACCTCGACAACATCTTCGAAGAAGCATCCCTCGAAGATACCACGGCCCTTTTCATTGCCCTCGATGGCGTGTCCAGGGATGGAAGACCAGACGCTGTTCACTGCGTGGAAGAGTGTCGTGCCGGAGAGGGCGGGGCCACGGCCGGTGGTGTGGTAAACGTAGTTGTCTAATGAAGAGTTAACTCAGTTAAATGTATGTATCATTAGGTTTCTCGCAAATACATACTTTGGAAGGTAATCTCGTCTCCTTTGCCAACTAACTCCAGTGTCCAGTAGTGGTGGTCATCACAGCCTGCGGAATGGGTGGTCTTGCCGTTCAGGAAGTTGTTCGACCAAGTCATGCGGGTGTTGGGGTGGAAGCCTGTAACGTAGTGTTGGCGTCCGATGAGGGAGGTCTAATTCATCGGTTAATGTTAGTAACTCGGCCATGACTATCAGGAAATGGAGATGTCTGTCTTACCTCGCAGTGGTCGATCCAGATCAGGTCAGCGCCGAAGAAAGTAAACGCGTCGCCACCCCAGACAAAGCTGTATTCAAATACATTAGGAAATTGATGTGTTATAAAGCATGCGAGAGCTCGTAGTCTTGATATGATACATACCCAGGGTTGAGATCCGTAATCTTAATGTTCTGCACAATGATATTGGAAACACCACCCTCAAAGTAGAGCCCCTTTCCACTGAGCACGCCTTTATCTCCCTCACCAACAAGAGTCTTGTTGGACTTGATATGAATGCCATTCTTGGCAGCTTTATCGTACGTGACGGTTACGGCGGGATTTTTACCACACCATCCATTGGAGTTGATGGCCAGCTGGCAGGCCTTCCCGGTACCCCAAGGCGCGCATCCAGCTTCGGTCGTGGTTCCCTCGGTTCCGATGAAGTCGAAGGTTTTGGTGAGAACGACGACTTGGGGTTCGTCGCTCTCGAGGAGGGAGACAAGCTCCTCGTTGGTTTTGGGGTAGCTGGGGGTTGTATCGCCACCGCCAGTAACGCCGGCTGCGAAACCCTCTGCGGCACCTTTGACGACACTTGCGCTGGCCAAGGCGGCATTGAGACAGAGAAGATGTAGGAATGACACCTTCATGGTGAATAGGGATTGAAAGAGTAGAGATTGGTTTGACAGACAGAGTATTGCTCAGAGGTCCAAACCTTCATCCTTATGTACTTCAGGTCACCTAGCAATATATCAAAGCCAAGGATTGAGTTTTGCCGAAGAAAAGAACCCCAGTAGCTACAGGGGCCACTGTTGTTACAAAGTGATCATAGTTCCTCCAGCCAAGAACTACTCTGCCCCACTGTAATGCAACCGAATGCACAAGTAGGGAAGGCCTGCAGTGACAGTTGTTTCAGGTATATGTTGTCCATATCACACAATCCTCTGAATGGAGTTTGTCTCATATCATTACAAGGACTCAATGTAGTGACCATTTTTAAGATACTTGAAAAGGATCACAGGCTTTCGCCATATTCTGTGGTAAGTCAGACACTGCAGACTCACCGTACACATTCATTGGTTTGTGTCGGTTGATTCCCCTGAGTAAGCTGCCAAATCAACCTTGAATATAAGTCTTGGAAACAACCTGAACATATTTCTTCGACGATGACTTTCGTTGACGAAAATTTGCTGGCTTGTTTGGTTCACACTGACGCCATAACCAGCTGATCTTGAGTGGGTCTGCAGGACCCTGTGAAACCTAACTTAAAGTAGTGAATTTCTGGAGAACCCTGACCCACTCCCCGAGACAGCCACGCGGCTTTCCACTGAACAGCGGGACGCCTATTCGATTACTATGCATATAGCTCCTTCATTTCAGAATTTTTATGATCACACTTCCTTGCAAGAGTGCTTATCCAGATTATGGATGCGCTACTAATCAAACCACTCGATGTCTCAGGCATCTCTACTACCGATCCTTCTCATACCAACGATCCTATTTATGGTAGCTGCATCGCGGGGAATACTCGGACGCAGTCGGTGAAATTACACGCAAAAACTGGAAATTTTCCGAGTAGCTCAATCCTTTCCTCATAACCAATCTATGAAGATCTGGAAGAGGGCACCCTACGAGCTCAGGCCGAGAATGTCAGCTTTTGTGGCCCTTGTCACATGTTTATACTCAATTTGGCAAACGGGTGGGTGACGGTGTAGAGAAGACGGTTAAGCGGTGGCATAGCTTACTGTTAGTTCTCGGCCATCCTCGAGTTTTGGATCATCACATTCAAACTACGGTGTATGTTCTAGGCATCCGTGTTCTAGTTACAGTACGTGTGGGGATCGGTTAGCAGTAGACTCTAGCAGATGAAGACCACTGATGATATAAAAGGTCGCACGTTGGCAGGTGCACCTGAATGTCCACTTCCCGCCAGCATTGTCGTACTAAAATGAGGTGTCCATGAGATTCGCTGTGAGATTGAAACGATTTAGAGAGTTGAGCATCGTGAGCTCGGAAATGGTGGCATGATGCAGTCCGTTCGTGCCCAGAAGGCAGGGAGGATGACACTGGAATCTTGAGCAATCGCACCACCAGAACTAAACGGTTCCTAGAGTAGGACATCAAGATCAATAAGCTAATCACAATGAGTTTAATGATAGAAGAGGAATTCTTCACCATGAATCACCTCCTTTCCATTGCCATAGATGTTCACTTTTTCGGCTGGAGATCGCCAGAACCGACTCGCAGTCTGGAACGAATGTTATAATGCCTCGGTTGTCCAGAGATTGAGACGCTTTTCTCAAAGGGAAGTTGCCCAAACGGCGAAATCAATGAGGCTAGTGATCAATAACCAGAAGATTATTGAATTCTTGATCATAAAATTTGCGGGACGTGCCAGCTGCTCTCGTGCGCAAAGTTTTCCCATACTTCTTGACAGTTGGGGTCAACAAGGTCAATGCCAGTTACGCTGTGGAACTCGAGCGCATCGACATATGTAATCAAAAACCTTTATAGTTGAACATTTATTCCTGCTTTTGTAAAGGATAAGCACATACGACCACAGGGTGTGGAAAATAGGGCTTCCCGTCCGCTCAGCCGTACTCAAGCCACACGCCGGGAGGTTAGTAGTTGGGTGGGTGACCACCAGCGAATCCCTTCTGTTGTATGTTTTTGGATTTATTTTTGTCGACGATAGTCAAATTTCTAAATAGATATTATATTACGGGAGAATAAAGATCTGCATCACATTGCATATACATCCCACGAAAATCGGATAGTCAGAAGCGATCACCTGGTTGGGCAGCTGGCGACGAGTTAAAGCTAGGCGATTGCCGAGTCCAAATAGCACACTTCAGTATGATGTGTAGTTTTCTTCTGTTTTCAGTTGAGGCCATGAACTATACGTACCTTTTTCATCATTGTAATCTCCGAAAACTCCTAGATCATAAACTTCCACTCTTTCCGCTCGAGTCAACATATGGCCTTTCAACGGTAGATCACCGCATAGCCACTAAGCAGACAGCATAACTTGAGAACAATCATGGTATTACCAAGGAATAAGTAATTGTTTCAACTTGCAGCTTATGCCCATAGAGTCTCCCATTATGCCGCAGTCAGAATTTACTACACCTTCCTAGCGACATCAGCAGGGCGAAAGAATAATGGCATAAATTATAGCATCCGAAAATCCAAGCAATCTTCTTACTATCAAAGTCGACTGAATTTTACACCTTGACCCTCCAAGGGACTTGGTCAATGTACCCAACTAAGCTGACCTTGAACTATTGCTTGGCGGACTGATAGCCGCAGCAACCGGCTGAACAATCCAATTTTGATATTCTTTCCACCACTATCCCTACTATGAAGTTCCAGGACGTTTGAGGAAAAAGTCAGACTTGCGTTGACAAAGTGGATAATTCCTTCATGAGTAAATTCCCGTCATTGGAGCACCTTTCTGAGTCTGTGGCAGATAGCCGAAAGAAACAGAGATCACCCAGTATAACCTACTTTCCAAGGTATGGTTTTTAAACCCAAGTTGGCACTTCCCTAATGCTAATGCTTTGCAAATCGGGCATTCTCTCAAACATAATTCGCTATCCAACAGGAAACTCCCAGACGTAATCCAAGTTTACCTGACTGAGGTGAGACGAATGTTGCGGAAACTGCCACATCAAATTGACATACTGCGAAACAACTACTACCTACATAAAATATTAGAAGACGATACCATCACTGAAAAAAATATAAGAATCCCTTCCTCACCCAGCACTTTGGAAATCAGAACAGATCATTCACTCTCATCATTCTCAACGACTACAGCTAAACGATCCTCTCATCTACCATTCCATCAACGCCAAAGACGTACACCCATCACCATGCCTCTAATTGTCCCCGAAATCAATTATGTCCCCAGCACCCTCCTGCACTCGACCAGCCACCTCAAAATCGAGTACCTGGAGCTCTGTGGAACTGAACCCGGAGAAACGCAAGATTCCATTAGCGGCACCAACCTTCACCTCCTCACCAACATCTGGACACTCAAAATCCAAACCAAAAATGACCCGGACACTAACACCGGCGCTATCAGTCTCATCCTTGACCTCTCACCCCTCGGACACAGCAGTCCCTGCCGCATGCATGTCACAATCACTGACGAGCCCCGCGGCCCCGCTTATGCCGACGAAGACCAAATCATGAAGCGCGTGCGCCTCCATGAAGTCGAATATACTGTCGGGGGTCTTTGTGATCTGATCGTTGCTAATGACCTTGATAGATATAACTATGTCAATGATCGTTTTTATCAGCAGAACAGGCATTGGTTCAAAATGCTTATTGAGGAACTTGGGGGAAATCAGAATATTTCAGAAAAGGAAGTGAGGGATGCTCAAAATGCTGTGAGCTTTGTTTGGAAGGGACCAGGGACTGGCACTAACGATCATGTGGATATTGCAGTCGGCTCTACCATGTTGAGGGGCACTATTGATCGTCGTGATAGACACAACCTTGGTTTCTGATGGTATGAATAGGAATGATTTGGGGGGAATGTGTGGCTTGCGTGTGTGGTGCTTCAGAGTGGTTTTGGTTTTTAGGCTAGGGTACTAAATTGTTATAATGCCTAGGAATCAGATTCTTGGATCATGAATTGTGCAATAACGTACAGTCATGTAGACTGTTTCGGAAGTAAATTTCTGTAATATTATCAATCAAACTAGTAACGAGTAGTGTGCCTGGTATGTGTATATCCTGATCACATGCCTGATGGGCTGTACTTCAACATATATGTCTTTTCTCACTACTCTACTGATTAATATGTGAAATGTGAGGTGCTAATCCAAAAAATTCATACATCTGCTGATTACTATAACTATATGCTAACATTATCTCTTCTTAATCCCATCAACCCTCAAAGTCAACGGCTCGCCCTCCCTATCCCACGATACAAGCATACTCTTTGAGACCTTTTCCATCTCAGCTTCCCCGAGTGTCTGCAGGTCCGGATGCTCAGGCCCCTGAGTCAACCGACAAGCCAACAGCGCCAGCGCTGATGACTTCCACATTCCCACTCCTTCAGCCCTCGCAGTATGAGCGACAATCAAGATCAGAAACAATATAGACAAGACAGTAATCACGATCGGAGCTGCGGCCCAATACCAGCGCACAGATATATACGTCTGGGTGGTAAATGCCTCCCCTGTGATCGTGGTGCTATTCGGCCCAGCGCGAATTCCCTTCGTAATGCCGACGGCAACGTTCTTCATAACGGGGCTGGCGTCTTTCCCCTCCTGCACAGAATACGTCCACCCAGCTTCAATTTGGTCTGAGAGGGATATGGTAGATGTGAAAGGGTTGAGGATCTGTAGCACGGTATTTCCTGAGATGGTGTAGTTACCATTGGTTGCGAAACTTGGGGTTGAGCTGTTCAGTGGAGCCAGCTCGTTTGGGTAGAACATTTGGAAGTATTTGTTTTTCGTAAAGAGCTGCTCCGTCTCAGAGGCCTCGAGTGATTGGTGATCAGAGGTGTAACTGTTGTTGGTGTATCTCTGGGCGCAGAAATACAGTGCGCACTCAGTGATTTGTGGCTTTGGTTCCAGGGCAGTGTGGTTTTCGGCGGTATATATTATGTTGGGATTATCGTATATCGCCGCTGCCAGGCCAACTATCGGATTTAAGATCCCAACGACCCGGGGTCCTTGGGAACTGCTGAGGTTCAGGCGATCTGTGTCCGTATTGGCGAAAGTCCAGGTTTCCTTCTCGAGAGCAATTGCATTTTCAGATCCAATATCTACCGTGGCCGCTTCAAAGATGTCCGGAGTTATCCGTAAGTCTCCCGGCGTGGTATACGTGCAATTTGGTTTGGTCCCTTGATAAGCCGTGCCATTGAAAAATCTCGCATACGAGCTGTTTGAGGAGAGAGCCGTGCAGCTCTGCAGTGTTTGCGAGGTAACATCCTGGCATCTGCTGCATGCCCCCAGGGTGTCGAAGGTAGGATACTTGCACGAGCCTGTACTGCAGGTCGGCTCCTGGGTATTGTCTGACCCATAGATGCTTTGGAGGATAAGCAGACTCATAGTATTATCGCTGTTTGCGTTGTAGGGTACGTAGGCCTGGGCCGTTTGTAGGGAAGCCGTCTCATTTAAAGCGGGAACAATACGAGAAGGAAAGGTGAGAATCTGCTGGGTCAAGGGATCGAGTGCGGCCGATAGAATCAAGGTAACTGCACCGAGAGTAGCCAGGTTGGGATGATTGGTGGTAATCAGTTGCAAAGAACCCCAGATGCCTTGGCTGGCCTGATCAAGAGCGTATAGATCGTATAGCCGTCTTTGGCTGCGATAATAATTCCATTTGAGTTGGCTGAGACAAACTCCGACCGGGAATAGCAGTGTAGCTCTATTGGCGGTTGCTATCACCGCGACCACTGCATTTGGAGAGACTCTGTATGCCCAGTCGGCATAGGGCATCCCATCCAGGTGGTTTAGCAGCACGATCAGAATGACCACACATGCAACGCTCAGTACGGATGCACCAATTTCCCATCCCCAGGATAACAAGCCAGTAGGGGCTTTGCTCTTCTTCATAGCCGACCCATGAATCTCTGGGGGTCCCTCGACTTCACGAAGCAAACATTTCTTGGACGACCCATAGTCGGTGATTGGATTTCTCTGGTTAGGAGATGTTTCTCTTGAGTCTGAGCGGGAATGTTCGCGATCGGATTCTGGTCCACGAAGGCAGCGCTCCAGAGACCCGTTAGATTCTTCCGATGGACGGACTGGACTTGGAGGGCGGGAGACCATGATCAAGCCCAATTCTCCTTTGTCTTCTCAGACCACAGGATGGGGTCGTTGTTGTACCTCCATAATAATCTGCGGGGAGTGAGAGTACTATATGGGACAGCCTTGCGGAGCCCTCCTTAGCCGGAGGGCTTAGCGCTTATTTCCCTGCCACGCACTAGTCGATCCCTCAACACTGTCGGCGAATGAACAGCTACAGTGCTTAGGCCCTCTTGAAGGATCTTACCATCTTATATGAGCCACTTTCTTAAATTCTTGGCTCTCATCTTACTTGGACCCTCCATCCTTTTTGGGAAGTCAATCTCACTCACCGTACATCTTTTGTCCAGCTGGCACAGCCCGGTTGCTTGACTAGCCTAGGGAATTCAACGAAAAGAAAACAAAATTGGGAAATATGAGGCTCGAAGAGCTTCTGATCGATCCCTGCGAAGTTCCTCCTGTCCGGTGTGATGCCGGTACTATTTTCCGTGTCTACATCACGTGTAGTAGGCGTTGTTGATCTCGAACCCTACGATTGAACTTACAGCTTCTATTTTTCAGCAACCATACTATTCTCTGATGCAGCCAGTGAAGACTAGAAGCAAAGTAACGCTCTGAATGCGCGCAGGGTTTGCTATTACGATATAAGAAGGCAACCAAAAATAAAACAGAGTATCGACATTGCATGGTCAAAATGGTAGTCAAAGTCAGAACAGCACAAAATATAGTTTTTGCCCTTAATCTCGTGGTCAATCTACCATCTGAAAGGCTTTGTGCCTTCTTGTTCGTCTTAACCGTTCTCTACAATGATGAATTCTTCTGCGTCCGAGTTTTCCTGCGTTCGCGGTAATCATTCGGTCGGGCGAGATGCAAGGGGCCAGATTCCCGAGGAATGCGCTCCTTGTGAGAGCCAGTGCTATGGAATCTTGGGCTTAGATGTCTCACGAATCTACTCTAAGACATACCGTATCTTGGTCCTTAAATGCTGTGGGTCCAGCCAGCCACATAGTTCATACTATATAATCGCGTTGGATCCAAGGTTCTTCCCTTTCGAACCTAAGCCTCATAACCCACATTCAAAATGTACTTGTCCCGTTTCCTCACGGCTGTGGCCCTAGGCTCAGGTACGAGTGCCTCAAGAAATCCTAATCACTCCAGAAATAACAATCACGCAGTCCTAGCCACCGCAGATATCGTCACCTACTCCCCTCCAACCGAACCGGGCCTATCCTACAGCATCACCATCCCAGACACCACTACCGCCGCTGGCTCCGGCCCCATCTACCTACAAATCTCTGCCCCCACAACTCTACAATGGGTCTCCTTAGGCGAAGGCGCTCAAATGGCCTCGGCGAATCTCTTCATTCTCTGGGCCGCCTCTTCCACGGAAGTCACACTGTCACCACGTTCCAGCTTGGACGGTGGCAAGAGTGAACCTCAATACAACTCTCTTGCAAATGTTACTCTCCTCGCCGGCTCGGGGATTAACAACGGCGTGATGACCGCCAACATCCGCTGTGATAACTGTCTCTCCGCCTGGCCAACTCCCGCTGCACCTCCGAGCGATCCCAGTTCTGTGTACACCTTGGACCCTGAGGGAACCTCAACACCTTGGTTCTGGGCTTCTGTTACTGGATCGCCGTTGAACAACCCTGACCCTTCGGCCGACCTGGCGATGCATGATGATTTAGGTTCCATGCAGCTCGACTTGAGTCAGGCACAGTTCTCTGCCGCGGAGGCTACGACTGATCCATCGTACAATCCCTTCCAATGAGCTTGGCGAGTGAAGCATGATTCAAACTTCTAAGAATTATAGAGTATGCTGGGAAACCTTATCATAAGGATTTCTAACTTTCATGTCAATGTATTCCGACTCAGCGCCAAGAAAGAACCACGCTATTTAGGTGTCAAGAATGCTTAGCTCCTCATGGAGCAGCTCCGGCCTTTGAAACTGAAACCATATTGGTGGGGGGTTCATCCAGCTTTTGAATCTTCCGCAGTCGCTTGTTCTGCCCCTACAGATAGGGTAAGTAGTACATAAGCTTCATGACAAATCGATCTGATTATTTGTAGTTGTAGACATTGTAGACTTGCCCTTACACAGGCAAACAAACGCATGCATGTCTTTCGCATTACTGTACCTTCCATTAAGTAGTATACCGTGCCCAGATGTCCTTGGTACATATTTTGGCTGCTAGTAAAGCGTTCGAAGCCTCCATAAGCAGTATGCCTCTCAAAGGGAGCAACTAAAATATATCCGAGATTACGGAGGACCGACGCTGGCATCGCCAATCTATCTATCCCAGTATAGTAATTATGTGCTTACTGGAGGACTGAAGTCGTCTAATATGATATTTATAGTCGTCCAGGAATGACTAATATCAACTCATTATCACGCATCAACATGGCAATCCCACTCGACTGACTGATAGGGCAGCTGTAGGCCAATCGGCGTCTGAAACTCGGTGTTTGAAACCGGGGACTAAGCATTTCAGTGGAGCTACTGCGTCTCACGTGACCATAATACAATAGTATATATTGTTCAATAGTTTTTGCCAGAAACCCAGCTTTGCCATGATTCAGATATTATATTGCTTGGAGATTTCAATCTGTACCATTTAGACAGGCTTTAAGTCAGACCAATCCAAGATGTCCCTAGTCCCTGACTCCGTGATCCCACGTCCAGCCACAGACGAATACTACAACCTTGGCACCTACACTCGACCCATCAGCACTTCAAGCGAAGATGCGCAGATCTGGTTTGACCGCGGCCTCATCTGGTGCTACGCCTTCAACCATGCCGAAGGATACCGATGCTTTGAGCAGGCCATAGCCCACGACCACAACTGCGCCATTGCCTACTGGGGCGTGGCCTACGCAATGGGGCCGAATTATAACAAGGCCTGGCGTCTATTCGATCCAGTTGATCTCAAACAAAGCATAAAGCTATGCCACGAAGCTGCACGAAAGGCTCGAGAGCTATGCCGAACGACTTCCGTCACTCCCGTTGAGCGCGCACTCATCGAAGCCATGCAAACTCGCTTCCCCGTTGACCATCCCGCCGAAGACTACGATCAGATCAACCACGCCTACGACGCAGCAATGAAGAAGGTGTACAACCAGTTCCCCACTGATCTCGACGTCATGGCTCTCTACGTAGACGCAAAGATGCATACGGCCCAGCGCAAGATGTTCCACATCAAGACTGGTCTCCCCATCGAGACATCTCCCGTTCACGATGTTCAGAAGCTCTTCAAAGATGGCTTGTCTCTTCCCGGCGCGGAAACTCATCCGGGTCTGCTCCATTTCTGTATCCATTTTTGGGAAATGTCCGCCACCCCTGCCATTGCGCTCCCGCCAGCAGACGCTCTACGCCACCTCGTCCCTGACGCAGGACACCTGCACCACATGCCTACTCATCTCGATGTCCTGGTCGGAGATTACCGTCGCTCAGTTGACTCGAACACCGCTGCAGTCCAAGCAGACGAGAAATTCCTCGCCCGCGAAGGTGCGAAAAACATGTACAGCTTCTACCGTCTTCACAATTACCACTCACTCATCTACGCTGCGATGCTATCTGGTCAGTCCAAAATCGCGCTGAAAGCCGTAGACCAGATGGAAGCATCCATCACAGACGACGTCCTCCGAGTAGACTCCCCACCGCTAGCGGACTGGCTTGAGTTCTTCAAATCAGTGCGCGTCCACGTCTACGTCCGCTTCGGACTCTGGGAAGAGCTCAAAGCACTCCCCATCCCTGAAGATCAGGACCTCTACTGCGTCACCACAGCCATGACGCACTACGGCAAGGCAATCGCATTAGCAGCGACAAACAACGTCCCCGAAGCCCTGAAAGAGCGTACCCTCTACGAAGCGGCTGCTAAACGCGTCCCTCCCAGTCGGAAAGACTACCCGAACCTCATCATTGATATTCTGAAGGTTGCGACGGCTATGCTGGACGGTGAAATTGAGTACCGTCGGGGGAACTTTACGCAGGCGTTTGGAAGCCTGCGGGAGGCCATCCGTCATGACGATGCGCTGATGTATACTGAACCGTGGGGATGGATGTTACCTACGCGACATGCGTATGCGGCATTGTCGCTGGAACAGGGTCATGTGGAGGAGGCTGCGAAGGCGTATGCGGAGGATTTGGGTCTAGATGCGGAAATTATTCGGGCGCATCAACATCCGAATAATGTGTGGGCGTTGCATGGGTATCATGAGTGTTTGGTGAGGTTGGGACGTGGAGCAGAGGCGCTTATCATTAAGCAGCAGTTGGATGTTGCTTTGAGTGTGGCTGATGTGGACATTAAGTCTTCGTGCTTTTGTCGGTTGGGTGTGCAGGGATCGCAGTGTTGTTCATGAGTTTGTTCGGGTGTATATACATGAGTCTTATAGTGGAAAGCTTTGTGTTCGATTGATTGACTCGTGAAGATAATACGGTCAAGTTGTGTTCTTAGCTAAGACGTTGAATCACAGGTGGCCGCGAATAATATCTATCCCATTGAAGGGAGTCATCAAGAATCACATATCCAGGCATCTGTGACTCTCCCCAGCATACTTTCATCCAACCAACATCTTCCTCTGTACATCCTTCTAATGGGTCCTCTTCTGGACCAGATCCTCCGCGTTCTGCCAGCTCTTCCTCATCTAATTCTTCTGGTTTCCATTCAGCATTGACTAGACGAACAAATCCTCCATGTATATTATCATCTGGCGTACTCAGGATTGAATCCAATGCTTCTTGATCTATCATAATAAAAAAGCGGTATCTACCGTTTTTCAAATGCCATAAGTGCCTGGAATCAATTTCTTGTTCCTGTTCCTCTTTCACTGCAGTCACAGCCCACTTATTAAATTTATCACGTAGTGAGGCCACTGTCATACCCTCAAAAGATCGATCTTCCACTTCCAAGACTGTTGGAGTAAATCTGGCGAGAAGATCTAGACCATTATAATATCGAAGATATTTTTCAACACGCTTGTAGAATCGGATCATTAATTTCTCCCAGTCAGAGTCACTTTGATATGTGCATCGATAGATAATAAAGCCCCATCTTTTGAAATTATCTTTGTCTAGAAGTCTCTCTAGCTCATCGGCACCGTTCATCCCGCTCTCAATCTCGGGAGTGCGTTTAGAAGGGTCCTGTCGCCGCGAAGCCATTTGTGTTGGGATGAAAGGCGGCGTGATATGTACAAGGCGGGGAGCGGGAGGACGAATAAGAAAGCGCAGGCGAAGAAAGCTTGGTTTGTTGTTGAAGTACGGGCGGCGGCGGAGAACACTTCTTGCAATCATGGATGCGAAATGTCTGGGTGGATGATACAGAGCGGGAAGAGTTGTTGGAGAAAAGTAGGTGGACGAGCTGGGGACTGCCTCATAATAAGGCCGGTGTGGCGTCAGGTCGAAAGTGGCCGGGCAGTGGAGCTGAGATAAAAAAGGGTTATTCCGTATTTAGCGCTAGACCACGCCGAGCTTATTTCAGACCACGCCGAGCTGTAAGCCCGAGATTACATTCGAGGCAGAAGGATTGGGTGGAGATGGAAGATGAATTGTTGGATTATTTTATTGTGGCTTTGGTGAGGTTCGGTGATTAGATGGTGTGTGTATGTGGTTGTATGCTGACTGGGTCGATAGGGTGAGGATTATAGGGATGGGAAGCTGAGTCGGACGGTTTCTTATTATTATGATTATTTTCCATTGTGAAAGGTTGGGGTTGGGGAGGAGATCTAGATGGCTTCGATATGGAATGCTTGACCCTACTTTTTTCTTTATTATCAATGTACGGACGTCATATCTTGTTCCACGAATGATGGTTGGCTTATGGTAAAGTGTAAGTATACGTGCTGTGATTCAAGCTAGGTTGTTCTATTCTAATGTCCCTTCCTGTTGGGAAAGAACTGTTCAGTCCGTAAACAAGAAAACAATAATAAAACCCGGCATAATTTCGCAGAAACGCGAATACGACGAGGAGTGTGAAAAACCACTTAGTACCCCATTCGCTCGCACCGACCGATTGCTTGAGCTATATCATTCAACTGAGGGTTGTCCGTATCATATTCCAGCTTATCCGAATGCTCTTGGATTTGCTGAGTATTCACCAGGATACGTCCGACGACAAGCCTCACGCACTGCAGCTTGGGACAAATTCTTTTATCCCTTAGCAGTTCGAGGACTTTACGCCAGCCGCCTTCGGGAGCATAAACCCGATAGAGGGTGAGTGTTGTTAGGTGGTTTCCATGCAGCTCGAGAAATCGAATGAGGTCTTCAGTGCTGATGTCCACATATTCGATCGAGAATCTCCAGAGATCCACGCCGGTCCCATCTTTGGGGTCCACCCCGTCAAAGGGATCGATAGCCAGTCTCATTAGCCTTCTCCACCAATGACACATAGGATATTCTGGGGAGCCATGCCACAGCAGATACTTTAGCTTCCAAGCGTCTAAAAATAACGAGGTGAACATATGGGCAATATACTCCCTGCTTGGCTCGTCAGAGGGCTCGCCCACCGTCAAGAAGACCAGCTTATACCACACAATATTAACATTGCTGGGGGGAGTGTAGTATTCACATGGTACAACCTCTAGTAACTCTGTCCTGGGTTGAATTGAATCCTTCGTGAACAGATATAGATACTCAGGCTGAGTCTCGGCATCCGTAAGGGCTGAGAATATGATTTGAAGCAACTTGCCGCTGGTGCCGTTCGCACTTCGTGGGGACCGACAATGTTCGATAACTATTTTCTTGATACCCGAGAGTTTCTTCACAGCGTCGGAAATCTGGCTGATCGCCGGGAACGAGTCAATTATAGAAGTATCTAGCCAAGGAGGCAAAGTGGACGACATCCGCCCCCCGTTTGGGAGCCTTCTGGGCTCAAACCAGAGAGTCTCAGGGTATGAGCAAATACTTTGATCGTATGCCACCTCCAATAGATTATAGAACCCCGTCATGTCATTGGTAACTCTGATTGTGATCCATTTCGCTTTCAACGAAGCCTCTTCAGTCCTGTTGCGTAACCCTTTTGACGTATTCTGGAGTGCCTTACGGGTCGGCACGTCAAGGCAGCACATAATTCGGGAGTACAGTTCAGAGGGTATAATGTCCAGTCGTCTCAGGTCCGCCCACGTATCAACTTTGCCGAGCTCTTGTTCTTGAAATTTCTTTCTGATAAACTCTCTTCGGAGAATTGGAGTCATCGTTCGCATCGTCATGGTGAGAGAGAGGGCCTAGCACTGAATGAAAGATGGCAGTCGACAAAGTCCAGAGTAGTGAGTGATCTATCTTCATGTGAGAATTCAAAAATCTCATAATGAGTCGGAGAACATAGTTGAAATTGTCCTTACCTAAATATGCGGTCGATCGTAACGGATATTTCTGTAGTTGGTACTGGTAAACGAGAACGACAGACGTGGTGCTTCATGTGCACCAAGGCAAGGCCATATTCTTCAGAGATATTGTGAGATACTGGGATATGGAAAAGGTAAGAGCACCTTGCTCTACCACTTATCCTGGTCCCTTCCGTCCGCAATCTTGCAATCACCTCATCTGGGTGGGTTGTTGTTACCCTTTGTGCTTACCAGACCTTCGACCCCTCGGGCCTGCATTTTGTGGCCTCGATCTGGTACCGGAGCTGGGGTTTGTTTGTTATCGATCTATTATTTCAATTTAGCTCTGACGGAAGTTGCTTCTTACCCGTAAGCCGCACATATCTCCTACCATTGGACATATGAGACCCTGAGTAGTAATGGCGTCTTTGTGTAGTGGTGCAACCTAAGTCGCTTGAGCTGGGATGAAAGGACGCAGAGATCGTTCAATCAATACTATTCGTCAATTATATATGCGTCCAACTACTCATTCTTGTGCGCTCAGGGTGAACTTGCTCATAATAATTAGCTATCTAGTAGCACATACCCAAGTGTTCAGTTATGAAATTGACAGTTCTAGAATGATCTTTTCAACTGTGAGTTGAATTCTAGATAGCAGTCCCTGATATATTCCAACCCTCTCCCTCTTCCCACATAGAACCCCATCCAGGTGCTCCCTCCGCAAATTGCATGCCTGCAAGGTGATTCCTAACCACAGAAAGTGGAGAAGTCAAATGTACAAGGGAGTCCATTAGTAGGGCAGCTCAGTGGAACGTTTATACCGTAACTAATAATTATGAAAATCAGCCTTATGTTTCTTCATCAGAGAAGTAGAGGTTAAACAAGGAGGTATATACCAGTTCGATGGGTTACAGTAGGTGATTGGCATCGGTCCGTTGTCATTGTTGTCGGTATAGTCATAGTTCAGCGAGTAACCAGAAATGCAGTCTTTCCTTGGATTTAGTATACAACCAATACAAGGGGAGCAGAACAAGGCACAAACATACCAACGTTGTTGTCTCCAGTACCTACGTTGCCGTTGCAGGTTTGAACGCCGCTATCAGTTGTGGTGATGGTGCCATCAGCAAAGTCATTCACATTCCAAGTTGATCCAGTGATGACCAAGCACCCAAAGGCGGAAGATGAAAAGCCTAGAATCAAAGCAGCTGTGGCCAGAGCTTTCGAACTGTATGCGACCATCTTGATGATTGATAGAGTAAAGCCTCGATTGTGGGAAATGTCTTGGATTTGATGTGAGATACAATGCCTCTTGTCTTTGCAAAATATTCGGGAGATATGTCTGACCATGGGCTACTTATATAGATATCTAGTACTCTGGTTCTCCATCCATCGTCCGTGGCCGCAGCAACTTCTCAGGGTCCCGGTACCTAGATTGCATCCAATGGTCGCCCATGTAGGTGGTCTTGTTGTTGGATAACTTGTTCTAGGATGCCTTATTACTGGCCGCCTTGGCCGCCTTATTATTGAATTTTGTATAGTTGGACGCCTGGTCGATTGATGCATTGCCCCTGAGCGCCTGCATTCAAGGGGGTTAGGTATACACCTACTTGGAACATCTGCTTGCATTCTACAAAGAGATTTTGAGTACAGTAGTAACCTGTCAGTTTCTAGCCATAGCTATGGCTAGGATTTATTCTCATCCTACTTCACTAAGTTGATATGATGCCGACTCTCCAACTCCTCCAAGAAATTCCAACGTGACATATGGAGAGTGTTGAGAATTGCTTATTCTTGAAGTGCAGAACTAAGCCTGATACAGAATGATATTCAGTCAGCCTGTCAAGTATTAGTACCAGCAGAAGCATCAGCAGATAGGTACATTACTGGAAATACACAGATGGAACTAAACTATGTACATGACGAGTAGTGATCGTCCGACTCTGTTTCCCCGTGACTTTTCAGTGATCCGCCTCGGCATCTCCGCTTTCAGAGAACCCAATAGCAGCATTATGTTATTTCAGTCTGGGAGATCCGATCTATGTAAAAAGGGTTTCTTGCCGGTTAGCACTAATTAGACGCTTTTAATCTTGAAAGGCCAAGAAATATAGTTTTTTCCGACTAGTTCCATACTTCTCAACCGATGGTAGATTTTCAGCTAGGGTTCATGAGCTGGAGCATTAGGCCCGCGATATCTGAGGAACATCTCATCACTTACCTTATATGGATGATGACTGTAGATCTTTCTTAGTACAGCCATGATCGCTGCCATACGTAGAAACTGACTGTCACGGGAACTAGACTACCTTAGACAGAGACTGGACAAGCGATGGTGGTTTACTAACCATAATAGAACTACTATTGACTCACACAATATAAGCCAAACTACCATTATGGCTGTAAGAATAAAAAGACCAAGCTCTTCCCACTATTCAACTTGACATACATATCGCATTCTCAACGCTTGAAGCTTGAGCGTATTATCATTACCATGAACGACGCATCGCAACTAGAAAGTCCGGACGATCATCCAAGAACACAAACATGACCTCCACTATCTAACAGCGATACTAGCTCTCCTTGATATCTTCCTTACTTCTTAAATAACGAAGAAATGCTTTCGCCAACTCCTCCTTATCTCTTACATTCCTCCTCACTCACCCCTCTATCTCTCCATCCATTTTCAAATACGCACATGACACCTCCACCCCTCGGAGAAAAAGCGATACGAGCTACCACCCACACCCAACACATCAAGCGGAGAAATTGCGGAGCCATGCAATGCGATTCTGCCACGATTCTACTATCACGACGTGAGGGGGTGTGAATATCCCGAAACCTCAAGCAGCCACACGAGGGGTCTAGACGATCGCTGAATGTAGGACGATCATGTAGGTAGGAGTAGAAGTAAGTGGCTCTCATTCACCTATGGTCCGTGCGAGGGGGTTCTTTGTTCGTCGTTGTTTGGCTCGGAGAAATAAGATTAGGGCGAGTCTTGCTGCAGTGGTTCGGTCCCGCGGCTGCAGGGCTTCTCGGCCAATTGGAGAATTAGCCTGGTTTAGGGAGATGAATTCGGTCTATTGTGGGATAGGCATCAACACTATTGCATTTGGGGGCGTGGATTTGGAGGTCTGATTGATTGATGTGTTGGATGATAGAAGCTAGACTATTTATATGGCTTTACTCCCCAGGTATCACTTTCTGTTAGAGCACTTGTCCCAGAGAGAAGAAACCTAGTCTTCCAATTTCCAGAGAATTCAACATGGGTGCTATGTCCCTTCCTTCAGACGAGATTCCCCAGACTCAAACGGTGGCTCTCGTTCGAGAACTGGGTGGCAGTGTGGAATTCCGTGAAGGCTATCCCGTTCCTACCCCGGGGTCAAATGAGGTATTAGCGAAGGTGCTCTACACAGGTGTCTGTCAGAGTGGTCAGTCTTAGAACATGGATCATACAAGTCATCTGGATGGCTAACACGGTCGGGAAGATTTACATACGAAAAACGGCACTGCGGCTGGTGCTGATGGTAATCCAATCACAAAAATCAAACTCCCGCATGTTGGAGGCCATGAAGGTGTCGGGCAAATTGTGGCTCTGGGCCCCAACTGTGACCCTGACCTGAAGGTCGGCGGACTAGTCGGCATTCGCTTCGCTAGTCGTATTTGTAGGAGATGCGAGTTCTGTTTAGCTGGCACGGAACAGTACTGCGTCAAGGGCACGAACCACCTCCACCATGAAGACGGCAGCTTCCAACAGTATATCGCTTTGGATGCCGACAATCTCACTATCCTTCCTGACGATATAGATCCAAAGGTTATCGGGCCGGTGCTGTGTGCTGGAGTCACAGCGTACAAGGTAAGAATCACTTCTAAGCACGAACCAACCAAGAAATCTAATCGCGGACTGTCCCTAGGCTGTTCTCAATGCGAACATCCGGGCAGGCAACTGGCTCGTCGTTGTAGGTGCCGGAGGTGGCCTTGGGCATCTAGCTGGTAAGTCTGCCGCATCATCGCAAGACTACACATACTGACCAGACAGTACAATATGCCAAGGCACAGGGAGCACTGGTGATCGGCGTTGATGCTGCTGACAAACGAGACTTTGTCCTTGGTTTGGGGGCTACAGAGTTCATTGATTTCACATCAACGGATCCGGTGCAGCGAGTTCATGAAATTACCGGTCTTGGTGCGCATGCCGTTGTGGTGACTGCGGGAAGTGCCAAAGCTTTCGCCCATGCTTGTGACATGCTGCGAGTTGGAGGTACTCTAAGCTGCGTTGGAATCCCGCCGGGCCGTCCAGTACTGGAGACTCCTATTTGCACAATCGTAATCAAAGGCCTCCGGGTTACCGGAAATCTTATCGGCTCACTGAAAGAGTGCATGGAGGCAGTGGAGTTGGTCCGGCGTGGGGTTGTCAAACCGGAAATCAAAGTTCGCACGTTCAAGGAGTTGCCTGAGGTGTACGAGGAGATGGAGAAGGGTGATATTGCAGGTAGAATTGTCCTTCAAGTTTCGCAATAGCTTACTCGTGCTGTATAGTTTAGAGAATAGCAGTTCTGCACTTCGTTTTTTCTCTTCGACAGGATCAGACACTTTCACCCACTTTCTATCCGTAAAGATTCCAGTGCGAGTCAGCGTCCTCCTCAGGAGATTCCACCTCTTCTCCAGTGTTGTAAGCGTTATCCTTATCGTTATCGAATGGCCAAGGGTTATAGTTCAATCTCAATAAGCGCGCAGGAGCCTTAACCAAAGCCTCAGCTGTCTTACTGTGCAGTATCGACTTAAGCATAAAGTCTTGCTCCAGGAAAGGCAGCAGCTTCTGATACAACGCGTGCAGGAAATCATGCGGCCGCATTTGAAGGTCAGAGCATGTCGGGACACATGGCGTGAGCAGGACAGTATCCGCGAGTGAGTTGGCAATCTCGAAACACTTTAACAGCTAATTCAGGCTTTGATTAGTATGCACAATCTCAATCAATGCAGAAGACAAACCTGGTCGCGTCCTAATGGTAACAGGTCAGACTCAGTAAAGCTTTGCAACGACATCAGAAGGTCACGGCTGACTACGGCCGGAAACCTGAACGTCATCAATCGGGCACCCGATTTCGACGAGAGAAGATGCCGAGACAGAGCTTCCTGCCAGATGATGGTCCTCATCCATTCTTTCGTGATGCAGTAATCAGCAATACGGGTAGAAGGTCTGTCGCCTTTGCCGAACGAAAGCATCGACAAGACTGACTCCGTCTCTGCCAGACTATCTGCAGTCACTAACGGTTTATCTCTAGCACTGGTGCTTCTTCTGGAGGAGAAGCCATCAAACGTGGCAAAAAGTCTGCCGAGCTCCAGCAAGCCTTTCACATCTGCATTATTGCCGACATCAACCTCATCTGGTAGGCGAATAGGAGTGGTATACGAGGGTTCGAGACCAAGGTGCAAAGAATAGCCCCTAAACCGTGTCAGCTAAGTGGGCTACAATCGAAGTGTGGACGCAGTTCCTACCTTTCAGAAACCCACAGCAATAGAAACACGATCTCCTTATTAGCAACAACATCCGCATCCAGCTCAGTATCGTGTCCACCCACACCCTCATCCAGCTTCAACAGCCTAGCTCCATACACAGCCTCTCGTATGAACAACATAGCCGAGTCTCTCTTGTTGATCTTGGCATGATAAACATGCAGGAAGAAGGAAACCAAGACGCTTCTCAAGTCGAGATGTGCTTCACGCATCCTCATACACTCCGCCGCCATCATCGTGCTATCAACTCTCATTGGAGCAAGCTGCAGCTGTGCCATGGTGGCTGCACAGAGAGCCATAGCCAGACACAAGGTTCCGACATCCGGTGTGCCATGTTCAAGCTTGTCCAGTAGCACTTTCGCATCGACAACCGGCCACACACTATAAGAAGCCTGCTGATACGAACGCACAACTGAGGCTAGTTCTTCTATTGGGATAGTAGTCGATGCAAATCGCTCTGCCTCCACACGGGATATCTCCTCGTCACGAGGATCAACATGCCGAGTGATCAGAGGACCAGCCGTCGCGTGTTCTTCTCCTTGCTCACCAGTATATCTCCTTACCTTTGGTCCCCTTCTCCGCGCAGGCTTCAAGTAAGTGCAGTTGACCTGCTTAGGGGCACTCTGGCAGGTATCGCAAGGCCAGGCACCGCTGCACTTGACCTTGCGGGAGATACACTCATCGCATGCACGCTTTGTGAGTCGATGGCGCATGGGTAGGGGATGATGATCACTAGATCCCAATCAGATGGATGGATGGTTGGATAGATAGGAAGAGTGAAAGATGAAGGGAGTATCCGAAGAGAGGGATGAGATGAATGATTAGCTGCAGATGAGGGGAAGCAAAGCAATGCGGAGTCAGAAGACCGGCCATTCATCAGAATCCCGATTACATGCAGATTCCACCATCTTCTCCACTGCCATAATTCCAGTCCACTTGTTCAAAATCTTAACAAAGTCAATAGAATATTGTGACCCATAGTACATCCATGTTATGATGTGGCATGACAACAGCATCCCAAGTATAGAAGGAAGTAGATGATCATGTAATCATTTATGTAACAGACCAAGTACCCCCACACCCCCAACCCAACCGAGCTTAGCAATCAGGACCCCTCCTGTCATTTACTCCAGATCTTCTACTTCTTTCCTTTCTTCTCTACTACCTACTACTCCTCCTTTTACTTCTACTTGACTCCCTTTACAAAGCCAACAATCACCCCCATCATCTACAAAAACCCCATCAATCAACCCTCCACCAACCACCCAAAATGGAAGACACTCCCCTCCCCCCCGCAAGCACCGACGTACGTCTACCCCACAATCCCATCCCTCCTCTTCCACCCCCCAGCTAACCAGCTAATAACCCAAACAGCCCCGCGACCTCGCCGCCCTCGAATCCAACCCCTCCGTCCTCTTCCCCACCTTCACCTCCAGCACCGCCTGGACCCTCGGCCTGGCCCTGCGCGAGCGCATCCTCTCCCTCCCACCCACACAACGCAAACCAGCCTTGATCTCCATCACTCTGACCGGCGGCTCCGAACCACACGTTATCTTCCAATGCGCGACCGAGCCCGGCACGGTAGCAGACAACGAGGTGTGGGTGCGACGGAAGCGCAACACGGTGTTGCGATGGGGCGTGTCGAGTTGGTTGATGAGACAGAAGATGTTGAGTTCGACGGGGGCGGAAGCGAGTGAGGTGGAGGCGGCGTTTGTGAGGAAGTTTGCCTTGACGAGTAGCGGCGGTGGAGGCGCGGCGGATGAGTTTGCGATTCATGGGGGTGCGTTTCCCATTCGTGTGAGGGGCGTGGATGGCATTGTGGGTGTTGTGGTGGTGAGTGGGTTGAAGCAGGAGGATGATCATCAGGTGGTGGTGGAGACGGTGAGGGAGGTTATTGCGAAGATGTAAATGGATTTATCAGTGTATTATATTTATAGATTTTGTACTCGAGTGGATTGTTCATATTGTGTTGTGTGGTGGTTATGTTACGTGTATAGTCTACACAATTAGAAGTCAAGTTTGGATAAAAGGTATCATGCAATTGCTGCCTCTAATAATGTCAAGGTCAGGTCAGGTATCATACTCGGTTGGACGACTGGTCAGCAAAAACCGGGCCAAAACAATGGTCTCAACAAAAACACACAACAATCAAAATGCTAACTCCATAAAGATCCCTCTAATGGTATGGTAATTTTACAATTCATCATGCCCGCTGGGCTCATCATCCTCGTCCGCCGGCGCAGAGCCATACAGCTTGCTGGTGATCGGGTACGCCACGTTCGAGAGCTGCTCCTTCTGCTCCTCGAAGTCCTCGGTGGTGGCGGTGGCAGCGTTGTCCTCGAGCCACTCAGTCACCTCCTTGACGGCGTCCAGGATGGTCTGCTTGTCGTCCTCGTCGATCTGGCCACCCAGGCCGTTCTCGTCGTTAACCTGGTTCTTCAGGCTGAACGCGTAGTTCTCCAGAGTGTTACGGGCCTCGATCTTGGCCTTGATGGCCTTGTCCTCCTCGGCGAACTCCTCAGCCTCGGCGACCATGCGGTCAATCTCCTCCTGGGACAGACGACCCTTGTCGTTGGTGATGGTGATGGACTCGGCCTTGCCGGTGCCCTTGTCGCTGGCGTGAACCTTCAGGATACCGTTGGCATCCAGGTCGAAGGAGACCTCAATCTGAGGAACACCACGGGGAGCCGGGGGGATGCCGGTAAGCTCGAACTTGCCGAGCAGGTTGTTGTCCTTGGTCAGGGAACGCTCACCCTCGTCTGTGACAGTCAGTTAGCAGATATTCCGGATGTTCTGTCAAAGCATTGAAATACTTACAAACTTGGATGAGGACAGTGGGCTGGTTATCAGCGGCGGTAGAGAAGATCTGGGACTTGCGGGTGGGGATGACAGTGTTGCGGGGGATGAGCTTGGTCATGACACCACCAGTGGTCTCAATACCCAGGGTCAGGGGGTTGACATCCATCAGAACAACGTCACCGGTACCCTCCTCACCGGAAAGGACACCACCCTGGACGGCAGCACCGAAAGCAACAGCCTCATCAGGGTTGATACCCTTGCTGGCCTTCTTGCCACCGAAGAACTCCTCGAGAAGAGCCTGGACCTTGGGGATACGGGTAGAACCACCGACGAGGACAATGTCGTCAACCTCGGACTTCTTAACCTTGGCGTCCTTGAGAACCTGCTCGACAGGCTTCAGGGTCTTCTTGAACAGGTCCATGTTCAGCTCCTCGAACTTGGCGCGGGTGAGGGTCTCAGAGAAGTCCTCGCCGTTGTGGAAGGCCTCAATCTCAATACGGGTGGACATCTGGGAAGACAGAGTACGCTTGGCCTTCTCAACCTCGCGCTTCAGCTTACCCATGGCCTTGAGATCCTTGGTGACATCGACGTTGTTCTTCTTGTTGTAGAGCTTGACGAAGTGGTCCATGACACGCTGGTCAAAGTCCTCACCACCCAAGTGAGTGTCACCAGCGGTAGCCAAGACCTCGAAGACGCCGTTGTCGATGGACAGGAGGGAGACATCGAAAGTACCACCACCAAGATCGTAGACGATGACCTGGCGCTCATCACCAGTCTTGTCCAATCCGTAGGCGATAGCGGCGGCGGTGGGCTCGTTGACGACACGGAGAACGTTCAGGCCGGCAATGGTACCAGCGTCCTTGGTGGCCTGTCTCTGGGCGTCGTTGAAGTAGGCGGGGACGGTGACGACGGCGTGGGTGACCTTCTTTCCAAGGTAGCCCTCGGCGATCTCCTTCATCTTACCAAGAACCATGGCGGAGACCTCCTCGGGGGTCAGGGTCTTGGGGCTCTGGTTGACATCGACCTTGACGTGGGGCTTGCCGTCCTTGTTGACGACCTTGTAGGGGAAGTGCTTGGCGTCCTTCTGGACATCCTTGTCATCGAACTTGCGACCGATCAGGCGCCTAGAGAGCGTTAGCAACAGATTGCCACGAAACTCGCGAGAAACAGAAAAACTCACTTGATGTCAAAGATGGTCCGTCTGGGGTTGGCGGCGTATTGGTTCTTAGCGGCGTCACCGACCAGGCGTTCCTCATCGGTGAAAGCGACGTATGAAGGGGTGATACGGTTTCCTTGGTCGTTGACGAGAATTTCGACCTTTCCATTCTGCATAACACCGACACAGGAGTAGGTGGTTCCCAGATCAATACCAATGACTGTTGAAGACAGAAATGGTTAGTAGATTTCTTTCACTGTCCTCCTGAGACGCTGTGCTTACCAGTTCCGTAGCTATCTTGAGGCGAAGTCTCATCCTGAGCGTGTGCAGTGCCGAAGAAGGCGAGGGGGGCAATGAAAACAAGCAACAAGTAGAAGATGGTGGTCCAAGCCGTGAAGGGCTTGGCCGCACCCTGATGCGAGATGCGCGCCATTATGTGTGAAATGTCCTTTCACCACAGGACACGTAGTAGACTTTTAATCGACGAGCTGCTCAATTGGAGACAGCAGCGAATGAATGTGAAAGAATCCTCCTATTGCTCGTACACGGTTTTTTTCCCCGGCACGAAGAAAGAAGGGAAAAATAGATACAGTCCAACCCAGATGAGAACGGGAAGGAAAGAAAGAGCGAAGGGGGAAGGGGGAAGGCAGGAGAAGAGAGTTGGGTGAAAGAAGGCGACGACGGAGAGAAGAAAGAGTGTCTCGAGAAGCTCCGGCCAGCTTCTTGTATGGCTTGCCAGCGGCAAAGAAAGCGCAGCGGCCATGCTGGCCTTTTCGCGGGTATCTGACTTTAAGGTTACTCCTCGGGCTCCCATTGGTCCGCGACGCGTCCAGGGCAGTGCTGAGTAAGCGTGCACGGCCACCGCCCGGTGGTTCTGCCGGCGGAAAAATAAAAGGCGTTCGTCCAAATGGGGAAAGGCGGTCCACCGAACTTGCTAGAATCGTCGCGTGATTCGCTCGCTTCGGTTAGGCGTTCTTCACTCCTCCAGGGGCACTTTGCCTCTTTCGGCACTTGAACAACTGGCCGTTCCGTTCCTTCGGCGCCATTTCCCGGGAGATTGACCCTACTTACTGAAGTCCGGGGGTTGACGCTGAAGATTGAAGAAAAGATGAGAAAAGGGGCCAGCCTGTCAACAACTCGTCAATCACCACATGGCCAGAGTCCACTATTGACCATCATTGAGTCAAGTCATTACTCCTTTTTGAGTCACCATAAGATCACCCAAGGGTCTTCCGCTGTGAAAGTGGATACATCCCTCCCCACTCAGGAGGCGCATCCCAGCTTGGCCTGATTCCTGAATTATTGATTCAGCCAAGGCCTGAGGTTTCTGCCAGCCTGGCCAGATCGTTTGATCTCTGTTTCAGTGGATGTTGGCTGAAAGGACCCTTTCTCCGTTAGTCACCAAAGGTGCCATTCCAGCAGCTCTCGTAGTAGTGTATGAGACAAACATACTCTTTTATAACACTAGTAGTAGGTTGTTAGGAGGACTTGTGGTAGTAGAGTAACCATGTAGAAAATCAATTGAAATGTTTGCTGATCACGATTTAGCATGATCAGTAGTAGTTGACTACTCCGTAGTTAGACCAAGTTGGTGCGTTAAAGTGGTGCGGAAAGAAATATATATATGTTTATAGGCAACCATGTAAATAGAGGGACATACTATCTACATCACAAATATATACTGTCCTGACAATGCAATCAAACCATAATCTACTCTAGCAACCCAGCAGCCACTGTTTCACCTCCAGCTCGTAGTACAATGCGTGTAGGTGCCTCAAGAGGTACAGCCTGGTCCATCTCAACTACTATCCGTGCCACAGTGCCTGGTGCAACAATCTTGGGCTTTTTCTTGATGCTTGCGCCAGTCACCTTGTCCAAGGTTGCGACCAGCTGGCTGATGCGGCCGGGTACGTGCAGGCGGCCCCGGTGGATATCCACCATGCTGGGCAACAGATGGTCAAACGCCAGCACCTTGCATGTAAACGACGTAACATTGGCAATGGGTGCCGAGGCACGGCAGATGACATCGCCAGATCGGAGATGAATGGGATCAATATTGACCAAGTTCAGCGTGACGTTCTGACCCGCCACCGCCCAGTCGTTGGGCTCCCCATCCACTTCCAAGCTGCGTATCGTAGCCTTTTCACCACTTGGCATCGTGAGGATCTGATCGCCAACCTGGAGACTACCGGCGTCGATGCGGCCAGATATGGATAGAGGATTCTGAACGCTGCCCCGGAAGACGTCCCCAATGGTCATTCTCAAGGGCTTATCAATGGCATGGGCGTAAGGTTCCGTAGCTTCAAGCTCCTCGATCAACGTACGACCCTTGTACCATGAGACATTCGGGTCCTCACTGCGTCTGGTAACGTTATCGCCGCTAATACCCGAGCAGGGGACGAATGTTATATTCTTGGCTAGGAATCCAGCAGTTGTTAGGAAAGAAGAAACTTGCTGTTCAATCTCTTCGAAGCGACCTTGATCCCATTGGACAGAGTCCATCTTGTTCACAGCAATGATGATCCTCTGCACACCCATACTCCGCACGAGGAGAGCATGCTCCTTCGTTTGACCCTTGAGTCCAGACTCAAAATTGCCTATGCTAGAGTCGATGACGAGAACGGCAAAATCGGCTTGACTGGCACCCGCAATCATATTGGGTACAAAGTCCCGATGACCCGGAGCATCCACAATCGTAAACACCGTACTCTCCGTCTCAAACTTGTTTGTTGCAATATCAATAGTAACACCCCGAGCTCTCTCCTCGGAGCCTTGATCCAATACCCAGGCAAGGGCGAAGGATCCCTTCCCAATCTTCTCCGCCTCTTTACGATATTTCTCTAACGTGCGCTGATCGACAGCTTTGAGGTCGGCCAGCAAGCGTCCCATCAACGTACTCTTTCCTGCGTCGACATGACCTAATAACTTGTCAGTGGCGGCCATCCGCAGAGAGACGGGTAGTACGAACCGATCACGGCGAAATTCATTGCCTTCTTCCGTTGAGTTTTCTGGTATTCAGACAGCACATCTAGGTTCTTGCTCTTCACATTCACCTTCTCCTCCACACTCAGGCTGTTCATGCCTTCAGCCAAACCAGCCTGGGATTTCTTGTCACCTGCTGACTTAGAAGCAGGTTGTTTCGATTTGAAGCCTGCATGTCCATTAGGGAGGATCTATATCTTGCGCCGAATAGCCAAACCTTTTGCAGAGCTCTGAGCATTCAAGACAACATCATCGGGGCTTGGGCCTGCAAAATCAAAGGGTTCAGCAAGTTCTTGACCGTATATCTTGATCAGATCTAATGTGCTGGCAGATAGGTGGCTGGGCTCGGCCATCTTTGGGCGTGTCGCTTCTCCAACGATCGTGCTGGCAAATGTAGACGGTGGTGCACGGATGTTGAGAGCGGCTTCTTCTTCCTGCTTCTTGTCGGTTGACACGGGTGGTTCGATATCTGCCTGCCCAGTGACCTCCGGACTGCTTTGTTTTCTTGGCTCTGGGGACGGCATTTTCTGGGGCGAAGGGCTTCCCAGCCGCGATCCTTTACCGAGTGACCGAAGCGATTGCAGACCCTCTGACGATTTCTGCGGCTTGCCATTGCTAGCAAGTCTCTCACGGAGAGACAGGGCCGGGCTCTTTCGTTCAGTGGAAGATGGCCGGGAACTTTCGACTTCAGACGGAGGTGTAGGGGTTGGTGCAGCAGACTTCTCTCCCTCTTTCTTCTTGCGCGCAGCAGCCAAAGCAGCCAACTTGGATACCTTTCCGGAATTCTCAGGAGCTCCACCCAGTAGACCCAACCGGGGATATAGAGGCTCAACGAGTATGTCCGCCTTACGGTGTGCAGGGATGTTGAGCCACGGTGCATCGCGAAAGAAGTCGGCTGCTGAGAAATGTGCAGTCGAAGAGGTCGGAGGAGACAATGGAACAGGATATACAGGGACTAGGAAGTCTGTTAGAACATACTTCAACTTCCGTAACGGCGTCAGTTCAAAGCAATCAGTCACGAGGGGTAAGGGTAATGCTCACAGCTTATGAAATCGACAGTACGTACACGCCGACTTGCAGGCGATCCAAGCCCAACCACCATAGTATAGACGAGTAGATGCGCTTACCTGTGCTTGCTTTTGCCTTGGCAGCCGGAGCCGGAGCCGGAGCCTGTTTCTTCTCGACCTCCTTCGTCTTTTTACCTGCATCCGATTTTCCGATTAGCATCTAGAGAAGCAGGTCGCAATTCTGCTGAAACGCAGTCCAAATCTTCCTTCCGGAGGGGAGTTGTAACACACCTCTCAGGTAATTTACAGACTTCTCGACATCATTGTAATAGTGCCATAGCGCCTCTTGCACCTCATCGCGAGTCGCGGTGACGGGAGGGTCCCCTGCACGGAGCTGGTTCAACACTTCTGCAGTGCACTGCTCGAGGAATTCCTCCTCCTCGGGATCCGGGGAATCATAGTCATCGTCAAATTCATCTTCGTCGTAGCTCACAGCCTTAACGCGATGGCGCGACATGGTGGTGGTGGTGGTGGTGGTGGTGGGTGTTGTTGGGAGCGGGGCAGGTTGCTAGGGAGGGGTTTTCCGGGAGACGGTAGGTTTAACGAGGGATTGGGGAATTCCCAAAGGAAGAAATTCAAGAAAGAAAGATATAAGTAAGCAGCACACTACGTGCTTTGGTAAATGCCCGAATGCGAATGGGCCAAGAGGGTAGAGGGAGAAGTTGGCAAAACAGAGAGCCGAGTCGGAGGTTGTCGTTGTGGAGGAGCTGATCGAATCCCACCACGTCATTCCCCGCTCGGTGGCCTCAGGCCGCTTAACTACTGCGGATGGTTCTTCCATCACGATTATATCTCAAAGTAATCTCCAGCGCCTTATTTCCAAGCTATTCTATGCACAGCATTTTGAGGTCACCTTTTGAACAGAATAATTGTGGTATTTTCTATCTATCGAGCGACTCTGATGTCACTCCCAAATTTACTTCATGTATAGCCAACTATGACAGGACATCCAAATGTCGCCTCTATCTTCTTAAGACTTCCAGAACTGGTCGATATAGCAAATCGATAATATCATAAAGAAACGTCGTTAAAGACCTATACCCAGATTCGGGCGGAGATGTTCACTTCAGGGGACTTCCACTGAAGAAGTCACCCGCTCCAGGGCCAGCAAAGCTGCCGTTGCTGGGCGTCAGAGCGATGGAGCGTCGGAAGGCCTGTCTGGGTGTGGCTGGGGCACTAGCAGCGGCGCCAACAACATCAGACGTGCTAGGAGTGTTGCGACCGCTGTTGTTCTGCATCGTAACCGCCGTTCCGGGGCGGGAGAGCACGGTTGGGACACCGTTTCTGGGAGGGGGTCGGAATCCAAGCTTGGAACCCTCGCGGAAAATCTCTTCCAATATTTGAGACACAATACCTGCATCTTCGTATTCTTTGAATTTCTTCCATAGACGTAGGGCCATGCGTGCGTCCTCGATGGAGTCGTGTCCTTGGTTGTCATCGGCCGGTTCCTCTTGGATGTATTCCTTGAATACCGCCCAGGCCAGATACCGAAGACTGAGACGGCGGTTTTTTCCAGGGTGGAAGAACAAGTATTGGGTATCTACCGTCTGACTCTTGGGAACTTGAATGTTGACTTTGCGGAAATCAGAGGCTAAGCCATGTCCAACAAACACGCAACCTAAATTGAGGAGCAGCCAGAGTTTCTTGTATGCCACCTTCAGCGGGACAAGGTTGTGCTGACTGACCCTAGGGTCCAGATCCCCGGGCTTGATGCCTGAGTATTGAGTGACATAATCGACAATATTCTCTTTGATGGTGATGTAGTCGTCGATGAAGGGCACACCTTCTCGAATCCCTGAGCCTCGGAGAACAGATACCCTAGCAAGTCCGCTCTTGTTGGGGCGTACAATTTCCTGAGAGCCATCCGCTTTCACATCGATTTCTGCTTTCTCGAGATCGACAAACTCGGTATCGAGAGCAACAGGCGTACCAGGGGTTGGCTTCTCCTCTTCGGAGAGCGTGACGCGAGATTCTACCGGACGGCCACCACTGGAAGAGGGAAGATTAGCGCAAATCACGTGCTACTGGAAGGGGGTCAACTTACTTTAGCGACCAGTCACGGAAGAGAAGAGTGGTATCGAGCGTGTCTTTCCAAGTATCATCCATAGCATGTCGACCATCTTGCACCTGGTAGGCTAGCACGCACGGTATTTTCCAAGGCTGATTGAAGCGGAGGGCTTCGTCTTTGTCGACTTCTGTAACAAGGAAGTCGTTGAAAAGATGCCACTTGTTCTTGGCTTCCGGTTCACGAGATGAGATGGATACGTTAATAAAAGAGACTAGATGTGCCTTTTGGTGCTCCGGAATATCGATCTCACAAACCAAACCCACCAGATCATATACCACGAGACCTGGCATCTTGGCTTGGATTCGTACTTTTAGGTCTTCACCTTCGAAGCATAGAATTTGACCACCGTCGATGACGATTCCAACTTCTTCCGGCAACCACCCAGGAATAGCCCACAGCCGCCGGCAGATGGGGTTGGTGAGAGCCGCATTCAGCATCAAGACCTGGGGCATGCGGTGAACTGATTTCCGGATAGCAACTTGCTGGTATCGACGGCAGTAGTTGCACCATCCTCTATTCTGGGTTTCTCGCTCAATGCTGGCCCGTAAGATATTCGAGAACCGGAAGGCAGGATTTCTGCGAGCTTGCTTGATATCGATGGCAGGATAGTTCAGCTCGTTGACAAGGGAGTTCCCCGGTCTCACGATCTCGTTCTGGCAGAACATACAGCGAATGGACTCGGACGCGACTGTCGCTAGTCTGTGGTCTAGGTCGTCCGAGCTCGGCGAGATCATACGGAAGTCGTGCGAAATTTGACCCAGGAAGAATCTGTTGACAGCCTGAATCGCAGCCGAAAGTGACTTGTTCGTAAGGTTTTCTTCAAACAGACCCAAGTTGGATGCTTCACGGTAGCTACTGAAGGTTTTCAGTAGGTTCGTTGCCTGGCAGTTCTGGCCGCTCGCTTTCTCGAGCATATCGAATAGGTAGCCCATCTCGCAGAGCAGACATGTCTCGAAAATACAGGAACTTGCTGCATGATGGAGAGCCACGTTGCGGATATAAGGGATGAATTTGAAAAGCTGAAGAAGAGCGTTGGTAAAGGAATTGGCAATATGTGTTTCCAATCCAGAAAACGCCGTTTGGTTGTAGAATCTATGCAAAGTATTAGTTGCTGCATATCAGCCCCCAGAATACAAGGACACTTACCTGAAGTCAAAATCATCGACACCAAATCTACTGTACTTGATCTCAACATTGCTGTATTTAAGGAGAGGATCATCGTCCGTTTCTCCATTGATTTTGGCACCCGCCAGAGCCTCGGCAGCATCACTGATGGCCCCTTCTGATTGTGCCTTATTCTGCTCTCGTGCTTTCTCACTCAAGAACTTGGGAGCAATAAGAGCAGGCTCAGCAGACGACAAAGCGCGTGTGTTCTCGACTTGATAACGCCGTGTCTTCTTCGGATTCGGCGCATGGTGACCGAGCTCTGCCGGGCGGAGATAAGGAATCAGAGCCTGATCTACTTGAGGAGGGGGGCTGCCGACTTCAAAGATCAGATGGCTCGGCCACGCAGAGAAAAGACGGTCGTGATAATATGGCATGCCAATCATGTTCAGGGGCGTTTCTGGAGACCAATCCAGGGTAGGGGGACGAGGGGCTACATCCCCGAATTCCGCCTCTTTGCTCATCTCATTGAAATGAACCTTTGCTGGTGATCCCCATAGATGGATCGCACATTCAGCGTCATTTATAGCCAGTGCTTCTCCGGATGGTGACAAGTCGATACCAAGCATGAAGGAAACGTTCGCCTGGCGAAGATTGATGGCATTCGGGTTCATCAGGTCCACAACTTGAAGCTGGCCTGTCTGAGATGCAATAAAACTCGTTGTATGCAGCTTTGGGTGCATTCGTACATACGCAGCTCCGGCGTGGAATGGTATAGGGGGTAACGGCGAGAGGGTCTTTAGGTCGTATACATTGGCCAACGGATCGACGATCGGGGAACCCAGATGCCTGACAGAGAAGCCGCAGGTAACCAAAAGATCGTTCCGAGCATCCATATCATTGACTGCAGTTCCGTGTGCTTTCCACGACTTCACCACACTGAAGTCGTTCAGGCTCAGCGCGTTGACGGAGCCCGTATCTGTCGCTCCGCAAAGGTATCGGCTCTTCTTCATGATTGTGTAGTTATAGTCTGTGTGTAGCTTGTCGATTATGATCCCCTTGTCAATATCAATTGTAAACATCGATTTCTGACATCCTGCCACTATAATTCGGTTGGTTTGGGCTGTGAAGCTCATGCAGCGGAGATCGGTCATCTCTTCGTGAGCGATATGCCATTGTGTCAAGCCGCGCCGTGTTATCATGTGCACACTTTTCGGGGAGAGCGAGATGACGCCTCTATCGTGAAAAATAATCTGCCGTACCGGCTCTGTCGCAGGATGTGCCCGGACAGAGGTATATCGCTGGAGCTCAGGGCCGAAGAAGGAGGTGATTCGTCCCTAATGGAGTACACGAACGCTTGTCAGCACAGCCTTCCGTGATAGCTGCAAGCAACGGAAAAACCGACAAATTCATTTCCCACCCACAACAACTCCATCACATCATCAAAAGCTATTGCGGTTGCGATTGTCGGCAGGGCATGCACGCTCGGTGCAGGCACCGGAATGCGCGACAGTTCATCCCAATCGGCCTCCATGGCCTTGACATCGCACCCGGCAAGGGTGTCAGGCTCAAGATAGGTACAGTCTTCGGATTATCGCGGTGTCAAGAAGTTTCAGGCAGAGCGTTGGGTTTGTCCATTGGGGGTCAGAGCGAAAGCGGGCATCGTTCGGCGAAAGCGCGAGTGCGGGGAGAAGGTCTGGCTGGAAAAGGCGTGGTCTTCGAACTCCGGACCACCAAGCACAGGGGCAAGATTCACAAGCTGGCACCCACAAGAACAGTCCCAGGCTCTCGGCTCTCGTTTCTGGGAGCAACAGCAGACGAGACAAATGGTCTCTGGGGAAGGGGTACCTTCCAGTCAGAGCTGCCGGCAATGGCTGATGAGGTACCGACGCATAATTTCACGTGACTTCAGCCCGAGCGGGACAAACATCCAGCACATCACGCCGTTTCTTCGTCACCGCCTACTGCATAACTACTATGATTGCGACCCTCATACACATGATGTAGTTCTTGCTTAGTCGTGTTGTCTTCTATTATTTTTTTTTTTCTTTAACACTCTCGAAGTCATTAAATTCCATCAGTTAGTAGGGATGTGACAGTAGTCAGGGTTATGGTCTTGCTTCAAGAAGCGAAGTACCTGTATAGCTAACATTTAATATAGTTATAGTAGCTCGACTGGACCAGATGATATCAAATGATACAGATCGCCGAGTTGAAGTGAAAGTGCTAAGTAGTGTGAACACTTACAAATCGAATGAAAAAGAAGAATCATATGACATTCGTTAAACTGCTGATCATTTGACCGTACTCTATCATAAAGAGACATCATGAATCTGCTCGTTCCTTTACCTACCGCAAGTGCTCAGGACTTCAGTAGGGTAAGTATCGGGATCGCCATGATAACAAAAAAGTCCACTATAACTACTTGCCAAGCCTATGACCAGACCGCTGTCTACACCCCATCCTTATACCTCCTCATCTTGACTACACACCCTTCTCCGCATGAAAGAACCAATGTAAGAACCTGCCTCTCCTCGCCGACTCTCTTCTCCATCCTATACCCCTCCGCCTGCTCGATAGCTTCAAAAGTCTGCAGCAATCGCACAATGGTGTAACCAACCTCCAGCAACGCAAATTCCTGTCCCAAGCAAACTCTTGGTCCACCGTTAAACGGCAAATACCCCCAGCCTACATCCTTCAGCGCATCGTTCTCCCACCGCTCGGGTCGGAATTCGTCTGCGTCGGCGCCGTAGATATCCCTACGCCGGTGCATCGCATAGACACAGTATCCTACGGCCTCGCCTTTTCTGACGAGGATTGGTGCGGTGCCTGTTGGTCCGCCCCCTGTGGGGAGGGTTGTGGTTTTGGTGGCGGCGCGCGAGTTTATGGGGACGGACGGGTAGAGGCGCAGGACTGGGATGTTAATGGGATCAGGGTATTGCGAATGATGTTTGAGGTAGTTTGAGAGTGAAATACCTTCTTTGATGACGAGTGAGAGATACTGAAGTGATTTGACCTGGGTTATAGTAGGTGTCGCCGACCTAAGTCCAACCCCAACTGTATCACTGATTTCGGCCCGCAACTTGAAGAGGACGTGAGGATGCTGAACAAGTAGACGTCTCGATTTGTGTCAAGAGCCAGCTTTCCCAAAAGCAAGAATCTCGATACATTGGCCCTTACAGTGTCCAAGTGAGGCAACAAGCCGTAGTGTCCCTCCCAGCTAACAGAATATTCAGGCACTGATCCCGAAGTACTTCCGGGTTCCGCGTTTCCTCGATCAAGGCATCAATGAAGACGTAAGGCTCTTCCTTGTTGCCCAGAGCCTTGTTTGTGGCTGAAGTCAAGGCCTTCTGTACAGCACGATCCACAAATTCATGGCAAACCTTACATGCTTTTCGAAATTCTCTCCCGCCTAGAAGCCAGTAGAAGTCACCTAATCGTCCACGCTTTGCCAAATACTCCTGTCCAAGATTGAAAGCATTCGCAAAGTCCGATTCCTGGCCTGTGATACCCTCGGATTGGAGAGATGGCAAGTATTGTCCAAACAGTAGATAGAGGGTAGTCTCGAAGGTGAGGCGAAAGAAGAGCGGTTGTAGATCGACGGCGTTGTCATCAGGGATGCTGGAGATGAGGTTGTCCACGGCACTGCAGATTTGCCCAAAGTTGGCATTTCTGTTCTTCATGAATTGTGAGCGTAGCAGCTCGCGCGAGTGCCGCCACTGTGTGCCATCTTGAGTGAATATTCCACTCCCCAACAAGGGGTAGAAAGTTACGGGTCGCAATCCGAGTCCAAAATCTGGAGTGCCATTGGTCAGTAGTAGCAAGAAGGTTCGGTGACAGAGGTATAGCACTGACCAGCAAATTGGGTCGACAAAAGCGCCTGTATGTTCTGATGATCGATAGTGTCGACTCCCCGGGAGCAAAGGAGATTTTGTTCGAACGTTGTGCCAGACTCAGCAATGATATCGAGAAAGAACTTGAGCATCTGCTGCCTACGGTCATGGCGAAATACTTGAACAAGTAGATCTAGGCCCAGCGGCCACGTCGAGTTCCATTGTCTGAGTGACAGACATCCATTTGCGGCGGCGATTCGGTTGTTAGCCTAATATACGGGTCAGATAGCAGGAAATCCAATGCTAACAGCGTTGCTGGACAGCGACTCATACTCGCAGTTCTCGTTGCAGGGTAATGAACCTGTAGCCAAGCGCGCACATCAACGTTCCCACAATGAGGATGGGAGCCGTTGAGGTGAGAAATGCCATGTGGCTTGCTTGAATGCAATTCAGGTGAAATTGAAGGACCCCAAAATCAAGTACCGGGTATTCAAGCTCTAAAGTACTCATATAAGATCCTCCTCCACTTTTACGCTGTTGTTGCATCTATAGAATGATTCAGGAGCAGGGCGCGTACGCCTAGGCATTACAGGTTGCACAAAGTCAGACTGATGATTTGATGACTCCTGGAAGCGCCAACATGGGAAGAGAAGTGGGGTAGATGGTTGTCTAGACATGAAGTCCAAACACAGTTTCATTGTTCATTTTCGAAGGCCGCGGCCCGCCTGCGTTACCACTGTGTTTACGCAAAACGTCAGTGGCTGGCTTTGACATGTCGAGAGTGCGGGACGCTTAGGGAGCTTAAGACCTATCCGAGCCTTTGGCCATGGTGCAACAAGTGCTCGACACCCGAAGGAAAGAACGAAGGAAAGAAAACCCAACTACACACCTCTAGATCTCGTGAGCTTAGCTCGAGTCGGAAATGCCCTTGGTCATCACACAAATACGGGAACCATCCGCCGCAGGGACTTTCTATTGCAGAGCGCAATAACTCAGCGACAGCCTCATAAGGTCCTTTTTTTAATGGTAAAGCTTTACTAGCACATCACGCCATTTTTTTCGTCGTCGCGTACTATAAACTACTTGATCATGACTATGAATCAGATCATATAATTAGGTTCTAGGCGAAGATCAACGCTAGGATGATAGGAAAACCTGCCACAGAATCCTAACAAAAGGTTGTTTTGGGGATGAGGCATCCACAGGAACACAGATGGCATTGTAGAACGATACGACCCTCATACAGGTGCAAAGATATAGTACATGTTAACTCCATAAGAAAGACAGGATCCTCGTCCAATATCACAACCAATGTGTTAGGCTGTTACTATAAAATAAAAGATAAATCAATAAGCAAATAAATAAAAGGAGAGAGTGTGTGATAATGGTAGAAAATAAAGCAAAAATAGGCGATCTTCAATGCCCACTCCTGGCCAGGAACACCCCAAGACTTGGTACTTTCTTACCCCCGAAGTCAACCAAGCTGGCCGGGGCCTCATGGCGCTAAGCTTTGGCCCTAGAAAGCTTGGTCCAAGAATCCGTCCATAAAACTAGGTCGCAAAGAGCAAAGCTCTTGCGCCACAAATTGATTAGAAAAATAACTTAGACCACTATAGGCACTGCATTCCGTTTCTGGCGGGTGAATTTTCAGCTGGTAGCCCGACGGTTGTTCGTCGGAGGACAGGCCACTTTAAGGACCTCTAGGGGTAATATAATGGCTATTCAGAATCTGGCATTGCAAATTCCAAATTCTAGCCAACGTCCTAAAAGCAATATGAGAGGTCCTGTGATGATCCAAGCCATTCTCTGCAGCTTGGCCTTCGCGGTCGGAATTGCGGCGAAGGACGACCCTGACTATAACCCATCTCTCAATTTTCGACCCGACAATGTTACTCTCAGCAACCTTTATTACTGGGTTGGATCGTATGTTATCAGCCTATGGTAAATTGGAAGTTGAATTTTATGCTGATTATACAGGTACTATAACGGCACTACCGACGTGGAAATATTGCCATATGCCGGATTAGCTTCCACCTACAGCTCGTTATGCCCCAATCTCGCTAACACAACGGTCACCAAACAGTATGATACCGTGCTGGCCCTTACAGAGCCCAGTACCTACAATGTTGGCTATGATCCAGTGAATGCTTTCCTCACCCTGTGGCCCAACAACTTCAATTTTTCGACATTACCAACGTACTCGGGTGGGAAATTACAACTTGATGCGGAGCTGGAGTTTGGCCTGTTCTCATCTGAGTGAGTGATTATACCAGAACCAGGGAATTCTCGGCTGACACTCCTTAGGCCTACGTACCAAGTGGACGGCAAAGTAGACAACAACTTCAACTGGACACTCAACGCAACCAATGGCCCACCATATAGTCTATCTAGTAACCTCGCCGGTTATGAAGGACAAGGGGAATTTATCTCCAACTTCACCAGTTGTAATGACAGTGACACCATCGCGTGGGACTTTTTCCTCGCCCCTTGGGATATCAATGCTGCTGGAGGTTACCTGCCAGGCGCGGCCCTTGATCTTCATTTCGACGGCAAAACCGCCAACCTCTCCTTGAATGGCTATTTCATTGGCTATGAGGTATTTAAGGAAGGTACAAGAACTATTAGCAGTTCGATGCTTGCAGTGGGCGAGGTTAAACTAAGGTTCTTGGGCGTTATGGATGCCTATCATTCGGATGTCCTGGCCAATAACACCGCTACGCCCACTTGGCTACGCACTGTGGGGTTTCAAAATAATTCCTTGAACGTTGGGTACACTAGTACAGCAAACAGTGTATCAGAGGGAAGAGCGGTTTCTGCCACTATCATTGCATTGACAGTAATGATAGGATTTTTCTAGACGATAGCTATGCCTCTGACAGCTTCGTCGCTGCTAAAAAGGCGCTTGAGCATGCGTAGCAGCTGGAGGATAGACTTTCCGAGATGGGTGGATTGTGTTTAATTTGTATTGATAGATGTGCGAGGGATGATCGAGTACCTAGTAATTTGAGTAACTTATCGACTGTGTCTGCTCAAGTGATACGGTCGGAGTATGACATAGAGAATAGTTTAGAGTGATAAATTGGTATGGCAGATATTTCTACTGCTCGAGTGCTCCGGCTTCATACGGCTTCATTGGAGATGAGATGCCGCATGCACATGTAGTCCAGGTTATAGTGGCTTCGATACTTTCTAGTCGCCAACCCAAAGGTAGTTTACATATATTCTTGAGCACACTATTCTTAAGCACACTTGTAGTAAACAGAACTCAGTGTTGGTCTTTGGTAACTCTATTATATATCTTCGGCTTCGTATCATTTCTTATCCATTGTACCAGCAAGTCACAGATGATCGTACTACTATCTTTAGAGCCATACCCCTGCTTCCTCAGGCGGAGTATATATATAGTAGCTAGCGTGCTATAAAATTGGCTCATTGAATCGAATAGTACTGTGAAATGACTTTGCGTCGAACGGGCAGCTGAAAATGCTTACAGTGTTGGACCTTCCTAGCTGAGACAGATGTTGTGGGGGTCAGGTGGTAGCTGGGTCTTCCTCCTTCACTTCCTTATCTTCTCCCTGCTCCTCTTCCGGTCAGTATTTCCCTGTATATGAAGTTCGAGTTTAATCTAGGCAACATCGGAGATAAGTAACTATTGCGTATTAGTTCAAGGGTCCGGCTATGCCCCGGCTCCTGGGCCCCACTGCTAAATCAGTTAGCTCAGCGCCATAGCCCCTATTGATCTTCCTATTTCCTACTTCTGTGGGTAGAAGACATCCGCTGAGGAGCCATATTATACCTTAGAAAATCATAATTGATCTCGAGAATCTGTTGTAGAAGAGGGAGATTCTTATACTGGTCAATGGATCGAATCTTGGGCTGCCTGCATTCACAGATCGCTAGAGAAAGGTAGACTTATAGGAGCTAAACATGATAAGAATATTACTTCGTCAATGAAACATTCCTGACACTAATGCAAAGAGGTAACACGTTAGTGCTATGGAACTACTAACCCGGACCAAAGACCACTATACGCGCTTTGAGTCGTTCCTGCTGTACCACTTGGTAATCCCAGCGGCTAATCTTCGGAGAGAGTCTGATCGGGCATCGCTATCTTTTTTACTAAAATTGTTCTTACTGATCCAAACTCCTAGAAACAAAGACTGATTTATGATTATGTTATGCTGGGAAGTCTCGGTAAGTAAGCATATCACCTGACCTCCAGGCTTTGTAGTCTCGTTCTACGCTTCACCTCCTCACTCTAATGTTTCTAGCAGACTTGTCGCGCTGGCTGCATCAAAACCATTACCAACCTCATCTTCGTGACATGCTGCTCTGGGTATCCGACCCAATGAGAGAATTTCAGCCACAACATAATGCTAAACTCGCAGCTCCGGGATCCAGTCGCTCCACTGTTGCAACCACACTTTCATCAACGATGCATCCACCGGTCCCAAAGCACGCAAAGCTGCACTATGCTTTTGGGCGTTGGTGGTATCCGCTGGAGGACGTATCCAACCCCCAGAATCAGCAAGCGACTTGAAGAAGCCTAGAAGCGACGCCGCAGGAATTTCCCGCAAGGCTTCCTCGTTGACTTCCGGGTCAGATACACGGTCCGTCAGGTTTTGCACCCATTCCTTGAGAGAAATTATCTTGGAAGAGCAGGTTTGGCTTATAATCTGAGCCAATGGTTCCCAGTTACTAATATGTGGGTTTGTGATATGATAGACCTCTGCGTTGTTCGACCCGGTGGAAGCTAACCGATCATTATGTCCCCCGCAGGCGATCTGAACAATACACCGAGCAGCGATATCCTACGAAGTTAGTACACCAGGGCTTCACCAAAAAGGACATTTCAGCAAGTGCTTTACTCACAATGGGCACCCAATCCACTGGGATTGACCCAATACTGTCAGGCAATTCTTTCATCGTCTGAGATGTTCGTACCAGTGCTGGAAACCAGTCTCGTGTCGTCCACATACCTGCCTCAGCATCTGTGGGTCCTCCCAGTTGACCAACACGGTGAACGGCAATTTTCTGTTTAGTTTCCCTCGCGACGAGGTCACACAGAACTTCTGCTGCGTATTTTGATTCTGCATAGCCTTGACTAAGTACTGTTGACGGCCCATGCAGTGCTTCTGCAATGCGATCAGTTTCGGGCACAATGGTAGGGCGACCACTCACGGCCGCAATGGAAGAAATCAAATGGAACGCGGCGTGGCGAGGTGAGCCCTTGATTAGGTTGAGAAGCCGTCCAGTCCCTTCCAGCTGAGAACGGAAACTGGACAATGGAAGATTGAAATTCACCATCCAGGCATTATGGATAACAATATCCACCCGCTCTCGCAAGTAACTGTGTTCATCCGCAGTCAGTCCGAGTCGTTCTTGGCTCAAGTCAGCCTGCCAGAATTTGACTCGAGAAGTATCCACAAGCCAGCCATCAGCTAACCGCTTCTCATGGAATCTAGCAAGCTGTCGGCTTTCCGCATCTGCCGAACGATTGAGGCAATATACCTGTGCAACGGTCGGATCCTGCAGCAGCTCCTCTAGAAGATAGCTGCCAAGCTCGCCAGTCGAACCAGTTAGAAGTACCGTCTTTCCGCTGAGCTGAAGGTTCTGTGCCTGCTGCCAGATTGCATGTGTCAATTGATGCTCTCGTGGCCAAAAGCTCGATGTGTGCTCCTCGCTTTCCGCTCCACTATGACCATGTAGTTGTCGGAAAAGCGTACTTGCGAGACGCCGGACCGTGGCTTGCTCATAGATGACTGCACTGGTCCACAATGCAGCTATTTGTTTAGGTTGACGCATGCGATCGGCCGCATCTTGCAGTGCCTGCGCGAGTCGAACTACCTGAAGAGAATCCATCCCTAGAGTGACAATATCGGCATCTAGATCCACAGAGATCCCACCCAAGATCCGAGAAACAGCCTCTTGTAGCCACAGCTCGATACCTTCCATAGTCGTCTCTTGCAGTTTTTCCACGTCATTAATAGAGCGTTCGTTACCTGTTGCATCACTATATATTTCATTGATAACTTCCTCATAGAGCTGAGCCGTTTCTCGCCGGCGAAGAGACCCCTTAGGGGCCAGCGCAAATGGCCGATCAGGAGAAGCCACAGCGATACGGTTATGATGAATTTGTCCATGGGCAGGCAACAAGCCGTTGGCATCTTTCACGAGGGGCTCTAGAGCCTGCTTCAGCCATTGTGGGGTCCATGTATCCGGGAGCTCATCCCATACAGGTTGAACTAGCAAGGCCACTTGGAATCGATTCTGGCCGAAAATGGCAGCACGATGAACTAAGGGATGGGTTTCAAGGAGGTGCTCGGCATCAATAGGGTTGAGCTTTTCGCCGTTGTTTAAAACAATTATGTCATCTGCCCTCCCCTTTGATCGCCACAGGCGTGGTTTTGTGGGATGAGGTTCGAAAAGATCACCCGTTCGATATTCGCTAAGATTTGGAAAGGCGTGAAAAATACCATGATACCGACGAGACGAAGGCCGAGGGATAACTAATTCCCACAGCCCATCACCGACTTCCTCCATGCGATGTTCGAAGGCGGGATTCCATTCGAAACAATCCCAGTCCGCGGGGTCTTCACAGAGAAGTGTCGGCGTGTAACCAGTCTCACTGCTACCCATCAATGTTTGCAGGCGAAAGTGGGAAGAGATTGCGTTTCCAGTGGCGCTTGACAGTGGTGCACCGCCAAAATTCACTGCGGAAAAGCCCTGTATTGCCTGTCGTCCCTTCTCAGACGACCAAAGATCCTGCAACGCAAACGGAGCGATTAGACACCAACGAGGTGGATCGGGAGTTGCCATAATCCGCGAGAAGAGATCTGGGGTTAGAGGTCGATCTGGGGATAGTAGAAAAGGTGTCTCGTAAAATATGCACTCAAACACGCATACAATTCCGATAAAGTGGAATAATGGTCCGTGGCAGAATCGCATCTCACCCTTGTGTCGCAGAAACAACTGCGCGGATTCACGACCATGAGGCACAGGAAGCGTTTGCATCTGATCCATCGTTGCCAGATATCCATGGGTCAGAGTTACCGGTTTGGGAAGACCTGTAGTGCCCGAACTGTGGATGATGATAGCTGGGCGGTCTTCTATGTCTGCGAAATTCTCTTGGTGGGAATACGGCTTGACAGGAGATGCTGCGAAGACATCCCAGACGGGATCCATACGCCATCGTTCCAAGCCGAGATTAGAACAAGCGACTTCAACCTGGTCGACAACTTTTCTCAGCTGGGGTCGCTCGCTACCATCCACAAGTACTGAGCAGTTCGTCTTCGACAGCAAATGATGAAAGGCTGCCTGCGAGTTGCGAGTGGATAGAAGTAGAGCCTAAGCCAATCAGTCAGAAACAAGCATCAATACTGTGGGACAGGAACCTTCAGCTAGGAATGTGAGATGGTCATACCGCATGGCCTGTCTTCATGCAAGCTAGCTCAAAAGCCAAATATCGCAAGTCATTAGTTCCAATATAGGCAAGAATCTGCTGCTTTCTTCCAGGAAGTCTGCTGTCAATCCACCACGCTACACGGTCCACAGCAGCAGACACCTGCTGGAACGTTATACAACGCCACTCACAATCCGCATCCTGGGAGCTGGGGTGCAGACAGTACAAGCGATCGGGCTGCTCCTTCGCTTGCTGGTCTACCAGCTGAGTTAAAAGCTGTCCTGAAACATCAGCGGACCCCATATTGCTCTCAATACTCGATCCTATTTTGCTGGTAGTGCGGTCGTTGTGTGAGAGACTTTTAGGCTTCTTTATACACTTGAACACCCCACTCCATCATTCCGGAGGGGACCACAGATACGTGAGTTACATCACCCGTGATATAGGCTTGACGATCACAAAGTCCAGATGGCGGCAGCCTGCATCCCTTGCTGTACGAGAAACGTTCTTTCTACGATCTGCCGATCTTCCCTATCCTTTAGTCGCAGTGATGATCCTTCAGACCTGCATATGAGAGGTATGACTGACGTCAAGACTTTCCTTTCTCGAATTCTTGCGACTTGCTCCAGGCTTCTATAACAGACAACGCTGGCGTAGCATACATGCACGCAAGTTGGTGTCACTATGGCAACTTCGAAGAGCCCAATGGTGAAAACGTGGCTAACTAGAACTAAACTTTATAAGACTACGTCACCAGAAGAGCAGCGTAGTCGCATCCTTGTTTACCTTTATGCGACTACAAGGCGGCAGATAGATGGGCGAGCGATGCATTAGTGTGTTGACAACTGGCTCTGCGCCACAACCCATTCCACGGCAGACAGCATTTGCCTTATCTCTGGTCCTGATCGCGGGATGTCATGACCAGCCGAATGTTTGATTGACTTCCGAGTTTTGGAGTCGCAGAGAGACTCGACAAGAAAGCCGCAATCGCCCAACCCCGGCATATCTTCCTTTCCACGCAAATGCACAGACGGAAGTGATATATGTGTTGGTACTACGTCTGGATGCAGGACACATGGGACGAGATCAAGTGGGCGATCCAGGAAGAATGACACCGGCTCGCGTGTTATAGAGTGGGTTCCCTTAATAACCTTCACAAAACTCTCCGTCATAGAACGGACTGGTTCCGGAAGCTGCGCAATCTGCTCGTCCTGCCCAGAGCGGAGACGTTGCTGATCGGCTGTTGAAAGAGAACCGATAACAGACTGACAATAAGCTTCATCCGCAGCGCATGGAATCGTGGGCGAATAGAATATTGCGAAGCGAAAAGGCAGTGGCTCATCTGGATACGCCGTTTTGTGCTCGAGCAGGAACGAAATTGAGATTGCAGCGCCTTGACTGAATCCCAAGACCCCATCAAAAGGGCCATGCTCGTCAATGGCCTCTTCGATCAAGGCATGGGCTGCATCGATTTCCCCTGCATCAAACGACCGCGCCCAGCAGTAGTACGGAGGTGGGAAGGTGCTCCCAATGCCTAATTTCAGTTGGTGAAGCTCATTGTTAGCAAATAGTGGCGTGCGTTAAATGACCGACAACCGTACCTGGCGCAGGCGGGCATTCAACTTCACCTGAGAGAAAATGAAACTCCCAGCTCGGGTCAGCATCTCGCATTAACCCGGAAAGCTGATATCGCAGAATATCCGGCCCTGTGCCGTAGCCATGAAGGCAAAGGACTTTCATTCTGTTTGCTGCTTTTGGTTTGGTATTCTCACAGTATAAGATGCGGTTGGATAAGATTGGACAAAGCCCAGTAAGGCTGTTTCGAGTCGCATCATGCCGTCGCCCTACCAATGGGCTTTAAATGGCTTCAAGCAGCCAGTACAATGGCAGAAACCGGCATCCATAGTAAGCTATTTGCTTATCAGAGATGTCCTTGCAGAGGCTGACGTTATCTATGATGTGGGTAGCGGGGTCGGCAGGGAGATGTATGATCCACTTTCATCGGAGGTATGCAGGATTCCCATACTGTTCACAGGTAATAGGCAAGCCATACTTGGAGAAATTTAACAGCGATGCTGATTATCGTTTCACGACGCCATAAGGTGACACGAACGTTGTCGATCCCAGCGGTATGACTACAACCCACCACGTAAAATATTGACTGAATTAGTGGCATTCCCCACGACCTACTGATGATGGTAAAGGCCGAGGCAAGTGATCCGGTATGTTATCACTAGACGAACTTTATCTCGCTGTTCTGCGCGAATTCTAGGATGTTGCCGGTACAGGAAGCCGATGCATCGATCCATATAAGTTCAATCATCTTCCTGACAAGGGCCCTCACGGGTACTTGGCCCTTGCGCGCGGTCTCCACTAGTTGGAATTCTGATGAAAAGCTCCGGTGGCTCTTATTGGTCCATTGTCCGTATAGTCTACTAAGCATCGCTATTTGTCCAATGAAATTGCGGTATGTCCATCTACAGGACGATCGTGAAAGACATGGAGGCAGGTGAGCATCGGGAAATACTATTCTTGTCTGATGGTGGACCCGCTGTTGTCGTTCCGCACGGCTTAATCCATTCCTCAACCACCCCTTGTACAACATCAATCACTAAAATGGCAGGTGGTTGACCTCATGGCTTAACAAAAATTTCCAGCCTCGCAGTTTCAAGCAGTTTCATCGACCTTATACACTAGCTTTGAGGCCCGCACTTTGCCTTGCCGCAGCCAATCCAACCCCGAAGCAATCCCGGCTAGGCCTCCTGGCTTGACCTGGAGCCGATGGGGGGTGACCTGACGGCTCTGCAAAAGGACTTCGACGGTATTCGCCCACTGCGCTCCAAATGAGAGGTTTTCTGGCTGGGCCTGGACTTCTTTGCCACCCATAAGATACGGCTCTCCGATCATATCGTATGCCATCGAAACATGCGTATCAACATCACCTCGGGGGCAGCGCACGTCTAGCAGTGCATTGTAACAGCCCCCGGAGGATGAAATAGCAGCGGCGCAGATTGCAGCCGTTTGGTTAGTGGAGATTGTATCGAAAGCTAGCTCGAGGGCATCATCGGTAAACTCACGGATCCGGTCGCCTACGTGAGAATCGTGATAGTCAAAGACGGCATCCGCACCCAGTTCATGCATCCAGGCACGATTAGGTTCTGAGCACGTTGTGACGACGCGCAGCCCCGATAGCTTTGCAAATTGGATCGCGAGAGAACCCGTTGACGTTGCACCACCGTAGATCAGGATGCTAGGGATATCCTCGTCATTCCCCTTCTCGTCTCTCTGCATATCCGCGATCTCATCATCACATGCCATTCCAGGGCCAGGGAGCTGCATGGACTGATACAGATTCTGGCCGATAGTCATCATGCCAACACCCAGGCAAGCGGCTCCGTCGATGCTCATCCATTCCGGTACCCTGAATTGTATGTCCCCTTTCGCGATGACATACTGCGTAAATGCACCTCCATGAGTCTGCTTCACGTTACACCCGTGCACAAAGCCGGCCACGCGGTCCCCTTTCTTCCAAGGCTTCCTGACTCGTGGCCCGATAGCCTCCACGACTCCGGCGTAGTCACAGCCGACGATGGTTCCTGTGCAGGTGTCGAAATCAACATGCTTCCAGTCCGTTGGGTTCAAAGCCACTATATTCACTTCGTTAACAACGTGCGCCCGGGTACTTGAGATCAAAACCACACTTACCTGCTTGTGCCTTAATCAGGATATAATCATCAGGCAAAGCGGGTATCGGCACATCATCGGCCAAAGTAACTTGACCGCGCTCCCGGACAATGACAGCGCGCTGAACGGCCATGGTATTTTATCCCGAAGGGCGTCCACTGGCGAGGGCAAACTCAAATCCTAACTCAAGAGCGGCTTGGAATGGATTCGAGACCCTGATTTAGATTCGAGAACTATCAAGTGAGCATATCAGCTTACAGTCTTATCCCTTCTATATAGCAACGGATTCCATGGATCTGCTTCGCCCGATAAGGAAGTCCCCTACCGAGGAATTCACACAATGAACGATGACTGCGCCCTGCCTTGATGGAGTAACGAAGATCAAACATAGTTTAGAACGTAAAGGATAAAACAGGCCAATAGCTAGCAGTCCTTGCGTCATTTATCATTCAGTTACCTTTTTTGGGATCTTGCATTACATGCCTGAATGTTTCTAGATTCCGCAGCTATCGTAACAGCTGCTAGCCATAACGTCACCTTCCGAAGCCAATCTTCAGGATGAAGTATATCACGAATCATAATCAATGAATAAATCAAGCTGGTAGTCGAAGGCTAAATTGTTAAAAGGATGGTCGGGAAACTATATTGACTCACTTGAGATCAGATTGAAGACACTATCTTGTAACATCAGCCACAATGGAAGAGCAAGCCAAAGACACATCTGGCCCAGAGCCAATTGCAATCATTGGCATGGGATGTCGCTTTGCCGGCGAAGCGTCTTCTGTTGAAGGATTCTGGGACATGCTTCGCCTGGGTCGAAAGGAGCATGGTCGTGTTCCTGCTAGTCGTTATCAAGCCTCAGCCTGGGAACATCCCAGTCACGAGCGCAAAGGGGCTGTATGTTCACCATTCATGGCAACAGATTACTGCTGGAACTAACCACGGACTTATGATCTGTCATTAGATCAATCACGACAGTGGCTTCTTTCTAGCCGAGGATCCATCCCGCTTCGATGCACCCTTCTTTTCCATCACGTCCAAGGAAGCTGCAGGCATGGATCCTGTTCAGCGCATCCTGCTCGAAGTAGCGTATGAAGCTTTTGAAAATGGTATTTAGATCTCTTAAAAAAGCCTTAAGAAGTTATTGACTGAAATATGATCCTAGGAGGCGTGCCAATGGAATCACTACCCGGTAGTGCTACCGGTGTCTATAGCGGATGCATGACCAATGACTACGAGCTGCTGTCGACCCGAGATATCATGGACATGCCACATAACTCGGCCACGGGTAATGGGAGAACTATGTTGGCTAATCGTCTTTCATGGTTCTTTGACCTTCGTGGCCCCAGCATCATGCTGGACACGGCCTGTTCGTCCAGCTTGACGGCGCTGCATCTGGCTACCCAGGCACTACGGGCAGGCGAATGTAGCCAAGTAAGTGAGCCGCCATATGTGATCCGAGGATAACAACTGATTAGTGTAGGCGCTGGTCACCGGAGCAAGCCTGATATTGCATCCGAATTTTACCCAGCGACTGTCGTACATGCATATGCTCAGCGCCGATGGTATCAGTCACTCTTTTGATAGCAAAGCTAATGGGTATGGTAGGGGTGAGGGGTTCGGTGCAATCTTGCTGAAACCCTTGTCCAAAGCCATGGCAGACGGTGACGCGATCAGAGCAATCGTTCGTGCTACTGGCTCTAATCAGGATGGACGTACTCCGGGAATCACCATGCCGAATGCAACCGCCCAGGCTGATTTGATCAGATCAACCTATTCTCAAGCTCAATTATCGATGGGAGATACGTCATATTTCGAAGCCCATGGAAC